AAAAATTAAAAGAGAGCACAATAAAAAATACCGATCTGGATAGGAATTTTTGAAGGATTTCTATCAGTTTTTCTTTCAAACTCAAACAAAAAATGATAGACCTTCAAATTTTATAGTGCTGTTTAGTAAATTTTATGGAGCCACACATGATTAATTACGGAGTGTATAAGAAAATTTGACATATTGATAGTATTTTTTATTTGTGAATCAAAGAATTTCTGGTATTCTAGCATTTTGCACCACGATTGTAATGCTCGGCACAGTAATTTTTCTTGGACTTTCCTTTCCGTGTACGAAATAATACGAAATTTCGTGATTCATTAGATAAAGACAAAAAACAAAAATGGTACATTTTTGCAGATTAATCCTATCGATAATTTTCAAAAAAAAAAATTAAAAACGTAAATTTCTGTCAAAATGGTGTGGAATATCTTTATAATGCTCTCTTTATATGTCTATTACCCCCTCGAGATTTATATCGGTACAGAGTTAATTTATAACACCGAAAAACATCACATCTGAAGACCTCTATTCATTTGCCCCGGGTTTATTTCAGAGGCAATGCCTCTTCCTGTCTCAAGTATCTTCAATACACAAAACAATCTCGGGGAGACTACGGGGAAAAGATATTGCAGTTGCAAAAATTGGATGAGTGGAAGAAAAAAAATGGCAAAAAAGGGAATTCTAAAACATGAAACAAGCTATTCCCTCGATCGTTTCTCACTCCTTTCAACTTTTTATTCATTTTTATTTATGAGACAAATGTGGACAACACTAATTGCTTGTGGGATTCAAGGGGAGGAGGAATAAAAATAATTGAACATTCTGTTAATAATTAGATAACGGATACAATTCAATGCAATTTTTCTTTAAATCTTAATTGCACTGTATTTAATTACATAATTTATAATTCATGATTTTGTAAAAAATATTTTATCTTGCAATTGATAAAAATTTTCAGAAATATTGAACCATAAAATCGAATCGAAAGAATAAATTGTTTAAAGTGAGAATTAATGAGAAATTCAATGAAAAAAAAAATGATAATCCCGACATTTTTAAAGAAATCCTGTCCACTTCTTGACAGAATCGTTAATTACCTTGACATTTTCCTCTTCATCATCCAGTAAACATCTGCATTGTGTACAGATATCGTTTGAACACACATAAACCTGTTTACCAAGGTTATGTAACCACTGGGCACATAACTCCACCCTCCACAAATGTTTAATCATCTTCATCATGAAATAATTATTCAATTCAAAAACGAATTTCAATCTTAATCGACCCCAACAGAATAATATCCTCAACGAACAGCCCAAGAATTGATTGACGGTTGAAAAATGAAGACCCGCATTAAACTATCATTAAGAAGTCCATAATTATGAACCTCTGGAGTTTTATAACTCCAGACTCTTAATAGCTACGTAAATACCAGCAGTACAGTGTTAGTAATAAAATGTGAATAAATGTCTTTACCGTCTTCATTCACGGCTTACGAGGTTGAAATATTTTCAACCCTGAAAATTAGTTCTGGAACGAATGCTCATCAGTCATCCTGGGGTTGAGAATCGCGTTTTATTGTCCTGAAATTTTTAAACTCAAGACCATAAATCAATGATAGCATCTATCCATCAGAATTCATGTGAATTTATTCCAACGAATTTATTCAAACAATTCCCCCGTTCTCTTCAATTTCAACAATCAATTCATAATCTTTAATCCATAATAATTTAATACAAGATTAATTACCACTTAATTTCCATAAAAATACTTGTCTCAAGTAAATAAATCCTGGAGCTAAAAGTAATTGTCTTTTTTAATGGAATAATGACATCGAAAAGCTGAAATATTTTCGACTCAATTATTCATTTTCCGGATTTTTCCAATTTTCAATCAACAATAATATAACAATACTTTTGGGACTGGAGTTTTGGACCTCTGATTTTGTGTTGAAAATTTCCGCAACTTCCACAGATCTAATCATAAATTTCATGAGAAATTTTTCTGCGTGAAATTATTTCCCAGGATATCTCTCGTTTCTCAGGAGCTAAAAATAATTGTCTTTCTTAATGGAATAATGACATCGAAAAGCTGAAATATTTGGGTAGTTAATTTGGTGGAGTTAATGAGCTGCTTGAAAAATAAAATTTCACTCATCCTTAATCTCCTCTTTCCCGTCAATTAATCCCCTAAATGAAATAAATAAATTACAATCCTTAATACCCCCCATCAGCAAAAAGCCCATTACTAACTGTCTCCCCCAATTTTCTCCTGGCATTTATTTTCCAAGCATTTCAAAGACATCCCCTTGCCAATTCCTTTTATCATTTCATGAAGACCCTGGGAAAATAATCGAAAGAAACGGCTGGAAGAGAAGTAAGATAATCCCCGATCGAATAAGCTCGATAGATTGGATATTATATAGTACATTATATATTATATTCAGAGGGGTAAAAGGCCTTTCATCTGGGAAAAGGGAAACGAGGCGATAAAGATGGCTCGTCATGGAATGAGTTATCTCTGTATGAATTACTGAAAATCCTCAAAGAGAAATAATTACCCTCGCATCCAAGGATAAACATCAATTGTCCCTTCAGATAAAATCATGGGAATTAATTATCCCTGTGCAATTGGATCGCTATTGCGTTTGAATTTCAACTCGTATCAATGAATTTAATCTTTCAAATGCCATTGCGTATTCGTTTATCAGCTCTGAGCCCGTTATTCACCATTCTTTCATTTTAATGCGCTATTTCGAAAGACTTTGTCTAATTCTTTTTTTTCTTTTATCCACTTTCACTCGATTCAATCCCCTCATCAATTCTCGAATCGTGCGAGAGACATCGGGAATAACTTCGGGGGTTTGTTCCGTGTCGTCCGATTATTTTTCATTTAAGACTCCTATTTCCGTCGGGTTCAATTCATTTCCGTATTTTTGAAATTAAATGATCATTGAGTTAATGGAAATTATAGAGAACTGATAATTTAAGAAATATTGATACCTCGGGTGGAAATTCTTGGAAAAGTTTCTGGGAAGAGAATAGAAAATTTTTAGGATTTTTTACAAAGAAAATTTTGAGAAATTTTGAGAAATTTTGAGAACTCTTTTTTTTTTATCTTAAAAATTACCATTTTTTGTTTTCCAATTTTTTTCCGTCGGGTTCAATTCATTTCTGTATTTTTGAAATTAAATGATCATTGAGTTAATGGAAATTATAGAGAACTGATAATTTAAGAAATATTTATATCTCGGGTGGAAATTCTTAGGAAAGTTTCTGGGAAGAGAATAGAAAATTTTTAGGATTTTTTATAAAGAAAATTTTGAGAAATTTTGAAAAATTTTGAGAACTCTTTTTTTTTTATCTTAAAAATTACCATTTTTTGTTTTCCAATTTTTTTTGTTTACTAAAAAGGATGTTTTAACAGTTTTATAGAAAATTATTGAGTATTAAAAATATATATTTGGAGCACAAATTTTTCTTTATCCGGTGTAGCGGGAAAATTATAAAAATTCAACGCCTCCATGAGCTTTTTTCATCCTTAAAATCTAGGTTAAATCCATTTCAATCGGATGTGGGTAGAAAAAATATTTGAATCAAGAGAAATGATCGGACTCCCCATTCCCGTTGCAAAATAAATAAAATATCCAATCGATGAGATTCAATTTCCTCGATTCCATTGAAACCTGTCGGGATTTGTTCAATACCGTCTGATTAATTTTCATTTGAGACTCTCATTCCGTCGATTCAATTTATTTTCCCATTTAACATTACGAATAATCATCTAATTACCAAAAATCCCCAAAAGAGCCTCTCTTATAAAAAGTGAACATCTCATTATCCCCAATTGACAAATTGGAAATTGGAAATTGAAAATTTTAAAAATACCGAAATTCAAAAAAATTTTCAACATAAAAAATCGACAATTCCATTGAAATCGGATTATCTACTCAATTCATACCGACGCGGATAGAAAAAATATTCGAATCGAGAGAAATGATCGGATTTCCCACTCTGGCAGGAAAAATAAATAAAATACCCATTCGATGAAATTCAATTTCCTCCCCCTTCCATTAAATCACAGTAACACCTGCAATTCTCCCATTTCTCAATTACAAATAGGATTCAATGTATCGAAAATTGAAATATGAATAGAACGTATAGGGACAAAAAATAGCGGGTTATTACCCCTTTGGCGAACGACTCTGGTGAGTGCGGGATGGCTTTCAGTATCCATTTTCCAACCCCCTCACACCCTCACCCCCTCACCCCCTCACCAACCCCCCTTTCATACGAAGAAATACGATAACGTTCAAAATCCTCTTAGCCCATTCCACCCATTTTTCTGACGATGAACGGCTACTCCGTGTTATCTAACTCACGCACGACATCCGCATGTCGTTTACTCATCGAATTTCATGACGGTTTTATTTTTATAATGAATTTCAATTTTTCAATAGCCTCCGACTCATTCTCGTGTATCTCGTACGGTTTTACGATCCTGAAAAAATATCGATTACTCGAATCCAATCGGATCGACCGATTTAGATTTTTCGATTTCGATAAATTAATGATGAATAGAAAATAGAGATCTCAACGAAAAAAGATCGATACAACTGATTGATATATTGGGAATCGATTTAAAAAATCGATTATCGAACCTAAAATAAATGATCCTTAAGTAATCGATTCTGAATTTTTTTTAATTATTAATCAAATTAATTTAACAATATGTGAAATGTGAGAAAAAAATATCGCGAATCGATTTTCGAAATTTTCGATTGACAAAATGTCATGGGATGGATGAGATAATTCAACAATTAAATGGATATTTTATCTAGATTTGAATTTCCACTCTGGATGGATTAATCACGATGATTCTCACACTAAAAATCACCTAGAGAATTCCAGTGACATGACTAACCCTTTGTTCCATCCATCACATTTAACGTATTACCAATGTATGACTCACCCAATTGCAAGCGCACTTCTCATTTGCGCAATCTTGACGGAGAAATCATGGAAATTGTAGGATTCATACAATGATACCCTCGAAGCCCAAAGATTAATATATAATATGCGATTAACTCAAGGCCATACGTTTTCCATAATTATTTATTGTACGTATTTTTTAATATACGAGAACGAACGCGCGCTACAGCGCGCTGTAATTATAAAAATCGCGATTAAAAATTGTTAATTTAAATGAGTTCCAAATTCAAATTAGCCGCCTCAAACGACCGAATCAATGAGGAATAAGCGTGACAAAGTTTCGAGATATCGATAGTCTCGATGTTTATCCTTTTTAGAATAGGAAATTATAAAAATCGCGATTAAAAATTGTTAATTTAAATGAGTTCCAAATTCAAATTAGCCGCCACAAACGACCGAACCAATGAGGAATAAGCGTGACAAAGTTTCGAGATATCGATAATCTCGATGTTTATCCTTTTTAGAATAGGAGAATAGGATAAAAAATCTATTTCAACAAAAACATTTACTTTCCACAAAAAATTATTCTCTAATCATGCAATCTCCCAACAGATAATTACTTTGATAAATTTACAGATTTTAACAATTGAATTCTAATTAATTCTCAATTATTCTTAATTTATCATCTTTAATTGTTTAATTGAAATTGAGTCGTTATGAAATCTTCCCACACCGAAAGACTACTACCAAAAAATAAATAGTGGAAGGAAAACTTTAGTTTAGCAACAGAGAAAAATAAACCTCAGACAGAGAATAAGAAATGAAAGTAGATTCGTGATGATGCTGTGGTTTGTTGGATTTTCAAAGGCCAATGTTTGTGTACATGACGATAATAGGGGGAAATGGGGGGATATGAGAGGATCTCCACCCGGAGGATCAATAGGTGCGCCCAGGGTTTTCCTTCAAAGGAAAAATTCCTGACGCTATTAAATCCAATTTAGAAAACTTTTATTCCCCATCTCCCTCCGTCATTTCTTTTTTTTTTCTCAAGCCAACCCCTCACTCCTTTTACCTTCTCCAACAAATTTATTTTTCCTTCAGTTTCCATCCTCCGCCCTCCAACCACCGCAACGAAACCTTTGAAAAGAACGGCCTGGATAAATTGGTAAAAGGATTTTGAACAATATAACGCTATCTATCATCCGCGTGGGTGGACTTACGAGGAGTTCTTGAATTCCTTGATTTGACTTTCATGTTTTCCAAGCATTTTCCCTTTTTTTTCGACAGCTACCTGAAATTTCTCCGTTTTTCTTCAAAATCATCCCTCTCCATCAAAATTAACGTTTTCACATCTTTCATTATTTTATTTATCGTTCGTTAATTTTCCTCCGTTTTCTTTTCAATTTTTTAAAAGTTTTATTAGTTGATATCAATCATCTTGTGTACAAAAATTTTCATGGACAAATCCTTCTCTAATTTTATTCATCTTATTTATTAATTTTTAATGTTATTCATTGCAGACGTTTCACACACCGAGTTTTGGAGATGAGGACTTCGACATTCCTGCCATTCACCCACATCAGCAGCATCAACAGCATCACCAGCAGCAGCACGACCCCATGCACGGATACCAGTCACAGGTGATCATTTTTTTCTATAGAAAGTTTATAAAAACGAAAAGAGTAAAGAAAACATGAAAAACGAAAATTTTCGCTCAAAACTACAGTCACTGTTTTGGAAATACCTTCAAAACTAAAAGAGATAGCGAATTTTTTGTAAAATTATTTTTTGTAGAGATTTTTGAGAGCTACAGAAAAGGTTATTACAAAAATTATTCCATCACCCTTAGTCTCGGAGATATTGCTGAAAAACCATCGCAGGGTCCAGTTTTTTCAACTTCTTTGCTGTTGATTTTTGAATAAAGGGGTTTAGAAAAATAATGGAGGAATATTCGGGTAGAAAATGAAAAATTGAAAACGTGACGCAAAAGTGGCAATCACTCCTCGAGACCCATCGATCTCCATCAAGCCGTCAACCTTCCACTCTCCATGCCCACAATATTTCCCCATTTTTCACGTCTCACGTGCAATTCTCTCTTTACCTCATCCTTTGATCGACGATTCCCCAGATCGTGAATGCATTGAGAAATTTTTTTCTCTTCTTTTTCAAATATCCATTTACTTGAGAGAATATTCCAATACCGAATTCCCATTGAGGGAGAACAGTGACTTTCAAAAATTTATTCTCGTCTGAATTATAGAATGATACCCAAAAGTTCCACAAATTTCTTAAATTCTAAATTAAATTTCAATTCACTTGCCGAGAAATTGAAACAAGAATTTCCTGCAAATATTCATCTCATTATAATTAATATTAAAAAAAAGCAAAGACTGACAGAACTCAAAAAAAAAAATATTCTCGCCGGGAGTCTCTCTTCAACTGTGGAAACATAAATTTCATATATTCCACAATTCCACCTTTCAGTTTATTTTTCTTTTGGCTTCACTCAAGCCAGTAGCTAATTATATTTATCTCGTCCCATTTTTCTCCCGCTGAGCAGCATGAATTACGTTTCTCTCCAGCTGCTTCAAAAATATTAGATGAAATCCCTAAAATTAGCGGAAAGCGATATTTGTTTTAAAAAAAATCCTGTAGCAAAAACATATGCTCTTCCCTCACACTTTACTAATTACTAGTTGCAAAAAATCTCATAAATAAAATCTATGTACATAAATACATAAATATAAATATGTACTTATGCAGTAATAAATAAAATATAAATAAGAGAAAATGAATTTTTCAAAAATTGGAAAGATGAAAGAAAAGCGTAAATTTTTGCGGAAATGAAAATCCATATGATGAGGGGTAAAAGACGTTTAATAATTTTGAATATTGACTCCAGATGATGCAACCTGGTGGGATGCAGCCATCGCCAGACGGTCTGAGTCTGGATCCTGGTGGGTACCAGCAGCCTCTTTACCTGCAGCAGGAGCACACGATGCAGCCAATCAACGTCAGGTGAGTTATACGACCCTCAGCCCCCAAGTGACGAAGGACTCATCCTTTCCAGCCTCTTCCTTTTCTCATCCAAAAAAAAAACATAATTACCGGGTGCTGCACGCGTTAATTGGAGCGGCGATTGGTCGGTAAGTCACGGTCAGACGTCCACTCTGATAGGTTTACCACCTTAATGAACCGGAGTCGTTAAATAATTTATCAGTGATTTTAAAAAATCGGAGGTGAGGTAGAACATATTGACCGAGAGCTTAACAATTTGTTCCAAGCTGAAATCCATGGAAATTAAAAATCGGGGGGAAAGCGTTCCGAGACGAAATTACTTTTAACGTCATGGAGAAAATTATTGTCCTGTCCTCATAAATAATATTAATATAATAATGATGAATGTTTATTGAATGGAATTCACAGTTTATTGCTCTGAGCTTTTTGTCTATCAATTTTCATAAAGAATTGATATTTTTAAAATCCCATAAATTAAATATAATGGTAAAACAATAAAAATTATTATTCAAACAAAAAACACATTACAAGCAATTTTCAAGGTGCACTATAAAAAATGGGTTCAATTAAATTCATGCAAATTATTATTATTATTATTATTATTATTTTATATTCCATATAAATTCGCGGAAAAATCTAGTCGAATTGTTTCAGAGGTTTATCAATTAATTTTTTTTACCCCCAATTTTTCCATTACTCTCCAAAATTTTCTCTGAAAATGAAACTTAGAGAATCCAGGGTAGAACAATTCCCATCAATTCCTCAACGTCTCGGCCAATGCAATTCCATAATACGTTCCGGTCAGACTCACGTTTGAATGATCAATTCCTGTCCCTTTATTTCCCTGAATGTGGTTTATTATGACGCAATCACACTCACTCATCTCCTGACACTGCAAAATGCCTTGCCGTCTCGTTACACTGCCTCAACTCCATCCCATGCATTTCCCCCTTCTCCATTTTGTTTTTATTAACCCCTGTTTAATGTCATCATTAATGCCAGAAACGGAAGTTCGCGGTGAAAAAAAAAACAGATATGCCATTAAAATGCGTGGAATTCACATTTTTTTTTTCTTTCGTCAAAATGGAGTTGAACGACCGGTGTAGAATGCATTTATTCGACTCGGGGATGTAATAAATACGACAGGATGCCAAACGCAGTGGATATTCCTTCGGTACGGCTGTCAGACAATCTCAAAACCCAGTTGCATCATTTCCATCGGTAAATGAAATGCCAGTGTTTCTGAACGTTGAAAAACGAAAGAAAAAATAAAAAAAAATAATGTAAAAAATGAGATAACCTGTCAGAGCACGTCCGCCATTTGCCTGTGAATATTCCCCACCATTTTGCCAACCCCCCAGACGATGAGTTGTTGCTCGTGCCTCTGCCTACAACATTTTGCAATGACATAAAACATTTCTCCACATAACGAATGTCTCGGGCCCTTCTTCGTGGTGTATCTGACGAAACGTTATAAACTGCTTAAAGTGGGGGAACAAAGGAGTTTTACAGCGAGGTCAGGCTGAAAATAGAGCGGAGGAACCTGTTTCGTGTACAATGAACCGATCGTTTAGCTTTTTTTTTTTCTCTCCCTTCATCGTGCTGATTTTTTTTCAAATTTATTTATTCTCATCCTACCACTCGGCGATACAGCATCCGAGGTGGTTTCATCAAACATCCCCTTATTTGCATAAACCTGTCAACACGACATTTATAATTAACGGATAAATGTCCTCTCCAGAGGATGATGGCTATCTCAAATGTCTCAATCACGACGCCAAACAGAAAAACCTCTTTATCGCCATTATTTCCTCTTCTAATGATCACCGTAAATTCAATGTTTCTCTTCTTTTCTCTGTTATTAGATTTTATGTACCAAAGAATTAACATTGAGGATAACAAAAAAAGGTTTACGTATTCGTTCCTGAAGAATGAAGATATGATGATATTTGACAGTGAGACTGATATTTCTGGGGGTCATACTGGTATCCATTTATTATAGTACTTTAATGTGACAATCCCATCGACAGGTAGCAATATTATTTTTTCTCGTAGTTGCTGGGAGTCTGAGATTTCCCATTGGGATTGGTTGCAGAGGGTGGAAGCAATGTTGGGTAGAAGTTGATGTAGAGTAGGCTGTAAATCCTACCAAGCGCTGACGCAGCACCGGCCATATCTCAAAAGTTATCCAATTTGTGTTAAAGTAGCATTCACCCGTTGGATATATCCTCATACCTATAACCCATGTCTCCCACAAACTGCATCTCGTTACCCCTGGAGCCATCATTTTCAGCGTCCAATTCCAACATACCAGTGTTTCATTCAATAATCCTGGTTGAATTTTCGGTGGGAAAATGTATTTTTGCTTTTTTACTTGGGATAATCCAGAAACCCTCGGGGAATTATTTGTCTTACGTCGGATTCGAGATGTTTTATTTCAATAGTTTATTTATCTATGAGAGCTGATGGATATTTCAGATGTTTGGAGATGTCCGGAGGGAGCCGGTTATATTCAGAATGGAATGATTGTGCAATAGGAATTCAATGCCTCGATGATTCATCAGACATTCCAATCAGAAGAATCCAATGAATCGAGGCTAAAACTTTTTTGCAATCCTTCACACATGACCCAAAAAAATTCTACCTTTGCTGGGAAATGATGTAGGATAGTCGGAAATCTAAAAAATACAAAACTTGTTGAAAACGTCTGTGCATGTACCACGGGTAATTGTTTAATACAAAATTTAAAATTTCGTCAGACAGTAGGCTAACTCTTAAACCTGAGGCTAACTCTGGCCTCAGATTCAGCTCGACCGGTCAAGCCGTTCTAGAAAAATTAACTTAAAATTCGTACCAGATCTTCCCTTTATAATTACAACAAATGGTATTAAAAATGAGCGTAATTGAACAATTAATTCCGTAGATATTCAATTTTTAGCGTAAAATTATGTGGAATATCTCAGAATTCATTAAATCGAAAGCCTTTTATCTGAAGGTTTCAGTCCCAATACATTTTTAGTAGATGAAGAGCCTAATAAAGAAAAATATATTGTAAAAACCATTCAGATACATTTAAGTAACTCAGGTACAGTCGCATAACAGCGGTCGTCCTTTAATGAATTTTTCACTGATCATTTATTTTTTAATGATGCATAAATGCTCGAGAAATGAGAATGAAGGTCTTGAAAATATTCTTTATTTTTATTTTTTCTCCATTCAGTTCAACATACGCAAGCCCACAGGCGTCGTTCACATCAATGAGCTCCCCTGGCCAACAACACGGAGGCCAACAGCTGCTTTTATTACAACAACAGCATAATCAAGCGCAACAACAGCACGCCCAGCATCAGCAACAGGTACAAATGCACATGCAATATGTTCACACTCAGCATCAACAGATGCAAAATCAGCATCAACAGCAGCAGATGCAGTACAGAAGTCCAACGGGTGGTAGTCCACCGGCTATACAGCAGAATCCCCAACCTGAGAACAATAATACCACAACGAGTGAGGACAGCGATGACAGTACACCACACTCAGCAATGGTAATTACCTTTTAGATCATTAATCTTCAAATGGCGAGTGAAAACTCTTGAAAGTTCTAACGACCAATTCATCATTGAAATTGCATGAAGAGTCGCATTATTTCTTCATTATTCAATTAAATTTCCATTTTCAAACAATGAAAATTATTGGAATTATGGGAAAGGCTGAAAAAATAGGATTTTATTTAATTTTTAAAGTTAATTATTCATTCTAATTATGAGTCATCAATTTTTCGTGCGTTATCAAAGAATCCGTCATTTTTTTTTTATGTTTAGTGAAATTTCAATTGGTTAATTCAGCTGACAATGACAATTCCTGAAAATTCGGGAAATTCCATTCACTGATTATTTAATTTAGTGCACGACGAATGCAGTCTCGTTGAATGTAATTAAAAATTAAGAAAACATTTTGTGAAATTGATTTAAAATTGGAATTCATAGTATTGAAAATTTTTAACATTTTCGACAGCTACTCATTTTTATTAATTTTCTATATAGGCTATCGAACAATCGAGGAATTTGTTGAATGTTCACAGAAAATTAAATTCCCAAACTCATAGAGTACTAGAAATAAATGAATCACAATTTTGAATTTTTAATACCCCAAAAATCCATAAATTCAATATTTTTTTTGACGGAATATTTAATAGCCAAAGGATTTCACGAAATATCGAATGGACCGGAAATGGCCAGTGTATTGAAAAACAATTATACCCATAATTGTGGAAATTCCCGAGAGTCCATTCACTTCATAATCCGATGTCCTCTCACAAACACACAATTCCCGTGGAGCCAGACAATAATTTGCCCCCACATGATCGACTAAAATCGGTTTCAATTACATCAGCATAGATTACCAACGCAGTGCGTAATTTTCTGATGGCCAGTTAATGAAGGTCACGACCCCTCATACCAGAAATAAACTCCGGAAAGATGAAGCAAAATTGCTAACAACTTTAATTAAGAATGAAAAATCAATTGAAATTGCACCTCGAGAGTTGAAAAATAATCTGTTTTCTCCCCCCAACAGATCACTGGACTGAAGCGACCCTCACCCGAGCCTGTAGACACTGTTAATAAGGCCCAGAAGAAGCCAAAGGCCCAGAAGAAAAAGAAGAAGAGGGATCCAAACGAACCCCAGAAGTAAGTATTAACATTCCACCATTCTTTCTCCCATTCCACCCATTCCCTCGCCTCTTTCGTTTTACCTTCATGCATAATAATGCCGAGTTTCTACATGTGTTACGATAATTGGAGTATCGGATTATTTCCACTTATTCAGAAGGCCATTCTCACTCCTCTCATTATTATTTCCCTGTGATTTTTATCTCATTCTCCACCGTGGCTTTAATTTATTTTTCTCATCAACAAAATACACTATTACATTTCAAAATATCCTTGAACATTCGGTACCCAGTGGTTTAACACAAATTCATAATTAATTACAAGTGCTGAAGAAATTATCGAACAATAATTTCTCTGCCCGTGAGTTCACTCAGTTGAATCCAGAAAACTATTGATTTTACGGAAAAATACCAGAAGACCTTTTTTCTCGGAAATTTCAAGAGCTGCAAAAAAGTTCTCTAGTGTCTTCACCGTAAGTGGATAGTTTTGAAGATAAATCTGTAATAACTCAAATGTGGAGTTGGACTTACCTCACACTGTCCTTACTACTGAATTGTTCTAATATTTTTTTGTATTTTCGTGGAAATGAATTTTCTCTGATGTTGGTAGGGCGAAAAGGTAAAGAAAGGAAGACCTATCAGAACAGAATGACGAGTCAATTGTTTCGTTTTAATGGAATTACCACAGAGAATGAGAAGAATAGAATTGAAGTTGGTGATAAGGGGATGAAGAGGGGGTGGTGCAGAGGCTTTAAGTTATTACTGCTGTGAATTGGCAATTACCGTTATTGTTGCAACCCTGCAAATGTAGGACATGGGGGTCCAGCTGCAGGAACAAGCGGCCGCATTACTCGGAAAATACATTTAGCGAATCCAAATGCTCAAGACAGAGACAGACTGACGCACGCCATTATCTGTTGTCTATATACGTTATTATATTGTTATAATGTCGAAATTGTTGGTCCAGATTACACCGTATTTTCCACAAACTCGAGTGGGGATTAGTCATTTACAACAGTTTCAAACTACATGCATAAGTTGTTTTCATTATCTTTCGAATGGAACTCAGCTCGGCAAATTGCATGTCTGAGGGGGGGTTTCGAGATGATTAAAAACGATTGTGATAACTGACAGGGTAATCTCATACATTTGACGGTGGACATTCATCATATTACTGGACGCCAGTGGGATTCGACCCCAATCGCCATTTCTACGTTATCGCGATTTACTCGATCGATCATTTTCCATTCGCGTGAATTAATATTCCCAGCTGGCGGCGTCACTATTTGATTGATATTATTTTTACATTTTTTTTTTTATATATAGTTCTTTTGGATTAATGAGGACGATGAACTCGTTACTCTGCCCATTCGTTATCAGTTTAGTTTGATTATTTCCAGTTTCAGACGATTGACGGTTTTTATCTACGTTGGGACACTTCTCATTCATATCTTTCTTCTTGACATAATGCAATGAATTTATTTCATGATTTTTTCCCGTCAATTATTTATAATAAATTCGTTTACAGTAAGGATTTTATTACACATCGATTTCAGGACATAAAGAAAAAAGTGGTTAAATAAATCGCCAATAACTTGAGATTGGGGAAGTGAAATTCAATGGTCTTCCGTTCTTTTTGAAGACCTGATTTCAGGCTTTGAGATGAAAAATGAATTATTCGATTCTAATGAGCGGTTTCTGAGTTATTGACTATTAAAGACATTCCCCTCTCCATTTATCCAAGAATTTTAATTCACTCTCTATTAATTATTTTTGTTTTACCATGAGAATATGAGAATTATATTAATATTAACACTCTCTGGTTGTCTAGGCCTGTGTCTGCATACGCCCTTTTCTTCCGTGATACCCAGGCAGCCATAAAAGGACAAAATCCAAACGCAAGTTTTGGCGAAGTATCGAAAATTGTGGCATCAATGTGGGACGCACTCGAGACAGAGCACAAGAATGTAAGTTAAAATATTTCATAGACTATCTGATGAATGATAAACTACGAGTGGGTGGCAAACTCTTGATTGCGAATTTAGTTAAGTGGAGATTGAGTAAATAGAGGGAATTAACTACTCTGTTAACGCACACTGTCGTGCAATGAATCCGTTATGGAGAATCGCTTTTCCAATGGCATAACGTTATACTCCACTATATGTGAATATATGGAAGTGTAAATAACGATGACAATGTTGGTCGGTTGGGATTCCACGAGATAACGCACGCATTAATAATTGGTAATTAGATTTTGCTGAAATTATGACTCAACGTATGCAATCATCATTTCTGCCAACTCTATCTTCATTCTCTTGTCGTCTCGTGCATTCAAAAATAAAATACATTCATTCTATTTAATTCCCTCATGCAATGACCATCGATGGATTAACTATCGATTCACTCGAATCGCGCATAAAATTTCATATCCACCGGAGAATTTTACTTCAATAAAAATGAGGAATAAGGGGAAAATATCGTGGAAAAAATTGTTTGATCAGTAATTCCTAATAATTCATACAAATTCTTCCATCCCACGAATAATAACCATGAAAAAAAAAGAGAGGAAAACAGGGGAAAAAATAGATAATTAATTTTGTGCCTTCAAATTGGAATTTAAATTGAATTCCATTCAGACTAAAATTGACGCTTCGAGAGATAGATGGAACGATAATTACATTCCTTCATAACTCTTCTTTTTTTTAATCGTTATTATTAAAGAGGACGTTCAACACGGTGGGTATTTCATTAATGGAACAGGGATGAGCACGAAGGAACATCGAGGATCCTTTAAAAAAATACCAATCCGTGGTGAATTGTAATTAAACCGAGACTCCGAGCTCATTTAATTATCAAAATTATGCGTATGTGTTCAGCAGTTATAGGTGGCCACTGGATTTCGTATCGTTAATTCAATTAAGGGCTTATCACGATTCTCTGGATTTGCAGATATCTCCATTCCCCCTGAATACTAAATTTCCAGTTTGGACTTACAATTCAGCGATAAATTAGCACACATATAATAACTCCTCCCTGCATTAATAATTTCAAACGATTCATCACGAGACACCGATTATCGTTCAGGAAATTGCACAACTGACATAGTTCGGGCAACTTTTATCCCCCACCCTCCTTTTTCCCATTAAAAAGAGAACAGTTAGTGCATTGATTTTCAATGAAAGTTATTCACAATCAGCAAATTACTCCAGACATGTTTCTACACATCCCTTCAACCGTGCACATTGATTTTTCCTTCGAATCATTAGTTCGAGATAATTCTTATGGACTCACGCTCTGTGTTATTACCCGGGGAGAATGCCAAGTGTCTGTGAATGCAATCATTATTCCCGATGAATCTCATTAGTGTTTTTATAAAACGTGTTACAAGAAACATACATCAGCATCGTGTGATCGGGGATAATAATGCCTGTTGTCGGGTATGATCATGCAGGCTCATTAATCCTTAACAAAACTGGGCGTGGTATTATTCGCGTTACAAAAAAAAAATTACTCCCTCTCTTTGAGCCGTCAGGTTGTTGCGGGAATAATAACTACAAATACTTTTAACAAGACTGATCTCCTTCCCACGATTGTGAACATTGTTCTTCGCTCGTTATTTATGGAGGGCTATTATTATTGTTTTATTGTTTTTACTGCGCGATGGATAAATTAAATGATTAATGGGAAATCAAGAATGGAAATAGAATTATTCTTTTTCTCGGGGAAATCGATTTTTATTTAAATTTCAATTGAAATTAATTGCAATTACATCCCGGTTTTTTTATTTATGATTTTATGAGTTGTATGGATTAAAGCGGAAATTAATCGATAACATTTTAAGGCGTTATGATTCAATGGGTCACAAAATTTCGTCGTATTCTTCTCAATTTTTGGTATAATTTTGTTGATTGCAAAAATGAAATAAGACTGAAAGGATTTCAATTCAATTTCAATTGCAATTCTTGAGATAAAATACGGCGAGAAACAAATTGATAATAAATTATCATAACTGTCAAAGTGAAGAGTGATATTATTAGTCCCTTGTTTGATTAAGAAAGCATATCCTGATCTCGATTATATCGGCCCCATTTAATTGAATCCCGTAAGAGTTTGAAAGGGATCATTAAATATATTTGGTACGTGCCAGAAGTACGAACGGAAGGCGCGACATGTTTTATTCAATGCATCCATTACCCACCGCAACACCAATCACATTTTTTTTTTACTCTCGTCCCATTCTTTCACACCTCTTAACTTACCTTCTTATTCCAAACCACCTCCACTAAAAGTGTCTCCTTCCTTTTCATCCTGCAACTCATCTCTCTCTCTGATTCACTCACCTTCTTCACAGTTCAAATACGAATTCGTATGAATAATTAAACCAGAAGGTTCTCGCATTATGCATCGATCTCTCATCTCACTACTACAACCACTGGATACACACCGTGAATTCCCGAGAACTTGTACATAATGGAACGGCGAATAATTTATCTTGATTCAAATATATTTTTTAATTCCAAAGATAACACTGAGAGGCTGAAAAAATATCCTGGCTCATTTAAAATGCCATACGGAATCGATTAAGAACATTTCCAGTTATTTATATTTCTCTACCATTATTTTTTTTTTCTTTTGCACTTGGGGAGAAAATATATAACGGGAGGAGTGAAAATAATTCAAATGGAATTGACGATTGAGTGCTGGGGACAATTGATTTTCTATCGTAAAAGCGGAGAAAATGGGGAATTGAGATGGGGAGAGAAAATTCTATAGTGAATTAGAGGAAACTTCATTTCTCTGTTGAGTATGTCGATGGAGGGATGAAACTGTTGAGGGGAAATTATTTCTTTTGCTGAAAGACTCGAGAAAACGAATCAATCAAGATTCTACGAATGAAATATTAAAAGGTCTCAGTTCCAGAATAGAATTCACTCAATTCCACTCTCTTGTTTCCCTTTAAACGTCAATTTAACATTGAGTACTTGCTAAATCCTCTGCATTATTCGTAATCCGTATTTCACTCCTTCCGCTTTCTTTTTCAATATCAATTTATTTGAGACAAGTGTTTGCATTGAAAAAAATGTAAACGTCACCTAAAAATAGTAATTCCTTTCAAGTAGCATTTTGGAAATTAGAAATGGCAATTTTTCACGTGAAAGCAGAATTTTTATTTTCTTATTCTCATAATTAATGCGAGAGGTCACTTAAAGGTCATAAATAAAATGATAACATCAAAAGCAGTATAATTATCATAATTGAAATTCAATGAGAATTTGTGCCTGAATATTTCATCAATGCCATTTTTTTCTCATTGCAGTCTCCAACTTTTTCTCTTAAGTCCGTAAAAACTTGTAACCATCAATAATTAATCCGTGAATCGTCCGACAAACTGTGAAAGTCTGAAACTAATGCTATACCCCAAAGAATAAAATTCCGGAAACCTTCAAAGACTCTAGAAAATGGTGGGATAAATGTGAACAATAAAACCAAGTATCGACATAACTGGCAATTTGTTTACCATGAATTTTCCGTATTGATGCCCCTGCATACCAGGTCAGACGACTAATGAAAAATAGATAATTCATTGTGATGAAGTGACACGATTTCCCCAGGTCCGTAATTACCCATCGAACTAATTAAAACTTTATCGAATGATTTAAGGTTTACAAGAAGAAGACTGAAGCGGCGAAGAAGGAGTATCTGAAGGCCCTGGCAGCTTACAGGGCATCAGTGGTGAGCAAGAGTGCTGGGGATGAGCCTCAGCCACAGCCACAGCAGCAGCAACAGCAACAGCAACAGCAACAGCAGCAACAACCCCAGCAGCAGCAGCAGCAGCAACAGCAACAGCAACAGCCCCAGGTGCAGTACAGTTATGGCTATGGAGGTAATCAGCAGGGAAATGTCGCCTATCAGGTTTACAGCCCTCAGCCCCAGCCACCCTCACCCCAACAGCAGGCACATCAGCACCAGCAGATGACCATCAAAAAATCACCCCATCATCTCACTGGAATGCAGCCCAATCATCAACAGCAGCAGGTAAACAATCCTGATGTTTTAATTGCATGAGATTGAGGGGAGAATTTGAATTATCATGAGATGATTTTAATTTATTGATCCAGGGCATGATGGGCAATCCTATGGCACCACCCCACATGACGCAGCAACACATGCAGCAGCAAGTATCACAGCAGCAGTATATGCAGCAGGTCAGTTCACTCATGATTTATTATTTCTTAGGATCCGTTTTCATTTTTACAATTCTGGGGATTTTTCTTAACTAACCAACTCCACGTTCTAATGGTTTTGCAATAATTTATTATACATTTATGGTTTTTTAAAATCAATAATTCCTTTCAATCGGAAATGGAAAATTGTAGAAAGAGAAATACATTGGCGATACATTTAATTAGTTTTCGTAATTAATGACAAATTACCTCCGAATTGACGGACAATTAACAGATCAGTTTCTTCAGATTGCAGTTTTAATGATTTTTCTCATAATTTGTCGTTGTCATGGTGATATGCACTCAAAGCCCTTTGACCCAGAGCCTTTTCATTTCTTGTTGGAGCTTCGATAAGTTTATAATTTTCTCTGAGAGGTCTCTATTATTTAATCCTCGCCAAATTCCTCTTTGTTACTTCATACAAAAGAATTCCCGTTGCCTCATCTGTTTGGCTCAGCTTCTTTCAGTTTGCCCGTTGTTTTATTGTTTCGAAGATCCTCTTACAAGTTTACGGAATGAATAGACGAGGGAGAATGAGCGTTAAACATCGGGTTGTATTGACTCCGTGATTGCGTCAAATTACTGGGTAATTTAAACTCTCTGACATTAGGGCAAAATGAGCGATAATTATTCCTCGTGTCGTAACTAGCCACTTTGATTCTTCATGCCGGGGTCGTTCATGATTCTGCCGGATTTTTTTTTTCGTCGTTAATGTGTCGGAGAAATTGTTTAAATGAGGGGAAACAATGAGGGAATATTGGAATATTCGGCTGAGTTGCATGCAAGACGAGTTATCCGCACGGAATCCTGCTTCTGACTAATTATTATTTAATTATCACTGATTTTCATTGAATCTGACTTTTTCATGTTCAAGAGAAATCCAAACTCCCATTCATCGCCCTCGAGGATAATTACTTTGGGTGTGTTCAGGATAAACTGTTCAATACTTAAAAAAATTCAATCAATATAAATAATTATAGAGTGCACATTGAAGTAATTATGAAATAATTATCATGATTATTTTCGCCAGCAATTTGATTGAAATCATGATAACCTAATAGGGAACTCTTCAGAAAAGATTCAAAGAAATAAATTCAACGTCAAAGACGAAATATTTGTCTGGATTAAATTAATATTTCGGAGAAATAATATTTTTTTTCGATGTACCCCTTTCGTATTGCGTTTGAAAATGGCCGACGAGAGGGACGCGAAAAACCAGTGGCATGGCAGCTCCCAGTGTTTACGATTCTCTTGGCAACACGTTTTCAATAATTCGAATTGATGGAGAAAATTATTATGCTGTAAGTTCTCATTCTCAGGATATTGCCCGCTGTTTGATACTTCTTTACGTCTCGTTGTTTCCAAGTTGGGAAGTTGTTTCGGAGTAAAGTGGGACATAACCTATATTAACTCTTAGCAATTGTTTCAGTAATTAATTGGGTTTTGTTATTTACTGGAAGTTTATTATGTAGAAAGTAAAGTTTCGGTCGTAAGTGAAAACTAACTTTCGAATTCGTATTTCAACGAACATCTGTTCTTTTATTTTCCGTTTTTTCATTACAGAATAATTCTATTGATTATTATTTAACATGGAGAGTGAAAAGCCATTTTTTGTTTTTTAATTGTTTGTATTTCATTTTAGAGTAATTAACAATTATGATTGATGTGTTTATTAAAAAATTTGGGAATCAGCTGGAGGAATGGAGTGAAATTTTTTGGGGAATTGATGGATCGATGAATGTTTTGAATATTAATGATTGCAGATCCCACAACAAGTACAAGTGCAACAAGTGCAGATTCAACAGCAACAAATAATGCACATGAGTCCACCCCGTGCTGATTCTTTATCGAGTCCACCACCAGTGACTGGTCAACAATCAGGTCTTGGCCAGAGTCCACCATCGAATTCCTGCATTCGTCAGGGCTGTCCAAATCCAGCAATTGCAAACAGCGAATGGGAGGATGAGTATTGCAGTAATGAGTGTGTGGTTAGCCACTGCAGGTTTGTGTGAGCATTATTTTTTTACACGTTCTCTACCAACTAAATTAATCTCACTACATACTCACCATAATAATTTTATGAATTACAGGGATGTCTTCACCACGTGGGTCTCATCAAATCCAAATTCCCAACAGAATTTTTCAACAGTGAAGTAAACACGACAATTGTTCAAGTGTTAATCTCAGATATAGGATGAACCACAGAATGTTTTTTTTTTTTTTGAAATCGTGATCCGAGGGCCTTCACCCAAGATTTTATTGAGGGCCTGTCGGTCGTTGAGGCGTTAAGGTTTAGAGATAAGAAGAAGTAATAATGGAAAATTTACACAATTATGTACATAAAACACTAGACGAGAGTTGAGTGAGAGTTCTGATTCGCTGGAGATGGGACAATCACGAATTATATGAGAAAAAAAATGAAAAAATGAAAAAAAAACTACAAAATATGCCTGGATGACACGATGAGACTGTCTAGGGGAGTTACTGCGAATCCCAACGAGGCAACTTTGACTGTGAATTTAACGAAACGATTTAATACTGATTTTCATCACTTTGATGAGCTATTTGGGGAGCCTTATACTGGATTATACCAGAACTCTGCTGATAAAATCTTTGTTTTGTTGATCAACTTTAATAATTTATTACTGAGTAAAGTTTTATTACCGATTGAAGCACTAGATTCTTTTCTCATTATTTTGTATCGTTTTTTAATCATATATTTATGAATATAATTCATCACAAGCTGAATCAATGTGGAAAATAGTACAATTGAAAATTATGGGGGTATTTTTCATTATTTTTTTTTCTTTTTTCGTTTTATATTAAACAAAATCTGTGTTATTAGTTGGCAGTGCCATTCGCCAGTTGTTGCATACATCATTTCCAACATTCATTTAGCTAGATAATTAATGAGAGAGAAAAGAACACGAAAAAGAGAAATAAAAAAATTACACATACGTATAATTATATATAGTACCTAGCCCCCGAGTTTATAAATAAATATCCATTTGAGGAAAATTTACCTGAAACGAGCTACGAGTTGAGGATAAACAGAATCATTTTCTCCCACTCCTATCCCATTCCTCCCTTTCCCGCCACCCCCTCAGTACGTAATAAATATCGATTAAGAATGAAAAACCACTGAGAGAGACAGTCAAGTTGCAATTGTATTTAGCTACGAAAAATAACTCGGCGATTCGAGAATTAATTGAACAGATGACTTTGATGGTCAGTGGATAAATTATTTAATGCGCCACGAGTATGAGAATAATTATTTTTTTATTATCTACATGCGATATAATTTGTATTTAGACAATTTTCCCTTCTGTTGTTCCCTTTTTTTTTTTTCTTTAATTTCTCTTCTATGGTAGATTTTAATGAACTGAGGATTTTGGGGTTTGAATTATCGCCGCGGAATGCTCGAGTTTCTCGATGAGAAATTAATGGTTGAACCAGGAATTATTGCGGCATTTGTCTCGGTGAGAAGTATTTTTTAATCGAGTTGTTTATTTTTTTAAACCGAGATGACAAACCGATGAATTACAGGCGTTTTGGGACTGAATATATTGGCTCCACTGTGAAGAGATGATTAATTCATTAATTAAACGCCCATCACTTGGGGACATTCTGTGCATATAATTATTAAGATATATATATTTTTTTTTATGTTAAAATGCATCAATTTTTTCACCAATTTTTCCAGTTAGCGATGTGAGCGCACGTTCTTTGGAATTAACGTTCATTTGATTATCTGATTTTTATATTATGTAAATACAAATATAAATATATTCTATAGATTGATAGGTCTATAATATATACATAATCAGTACTGTAATATATTGATAACGATTTGTGGTATATTACGAGAAAATACAAATTATATATTATACATATTAATTAGAATAAATATATGATTATTATTGGTTATTGATTATGCGTAAGATATTGATTATTGGCGTTCGTGGGGTACGCTAAAAATGCGTTTTATGGTGCATTCGGATGATATTCTCGGTAATGAGAGAATTTAATGCTGACTAAAACATTTAGTCCCTTGGCTCGTTCATGTACAATTCCCGAACGATTGTGAGATGATAATTATTGTGGAACACAATTTTACAATACGATTAATCATAAATTACGATGAGGAAACCTATAGAGAGAGAGTTAACAAAATCAAGTTAAAACGTTAGGAGTTATCGATTATATTATCGTAGACCTTAGCACGACGCATCAAATGCTAATATATGATGGTGATTTGCAATGAATTTATGTTCATTATTATTGTTTTCTTTTCTGTACAAAAAGAATGTCTTAATTAAATGACTCAGTCCCAGAAGAGTGGATTTTTTATTGTGCAATCATTACATCCAGTTTCATTATTCCTGCAAATATTTCCTTCTCATTAAATTTATCATTGCCTTAAAAACATTACCAGACCTTAATCAATCAATCAATGAATTTCCTCAGTGTCAAGTCATTCAATTTGCAACAAAAAAAAGTAAGTAAGTAACATTATATTAATATAAATATCACTAAACAGTAAATGGGATAATTGAATTAAATCAATCCAGATAATAATGCACAGAAAAAATACAATAAAATATAGAAAAAGTAAATGAATAAAATATTGACAGGAATAAAATAAAAATTTAAAATAAATATTGAAGAATATGATATTAGTTGCAGATCTCTGGCGCCCTCACTGCTAGGGGGTAGAAACTAAAGTTTTCGGACTCACTGAATCATTAGATAACCTTGGAAACAGCAACCACATCCTATTTTACACTTTCCCTCTCCCACAACAATGTGTCATAATCGCAGTCACCTGTGCACAATGAACTCTCCACGAATTAAAATCAGATATCTCCAGAAATGCTGAAACACTGATTCATCATCAAAATTATGTGGGATTTACTCACTTGAAGAATGGGTCCAATAATCCTGCACCTCTTTCAACTGTTGTTCATCACTCATCTGTCAAGTACGTAAACAATTGAATATTTTTACAGTGGTATTATTTGTTTAGTCACTCTTTCAATTTATGGTGTGGAAAACAAAAAATTCAGTTCTAGCAAAATTGAAATGGCAAGTGGAGTATTGAACAGAAATATTATTAAAATAATAATAATAGTTTTAATAATTTTCTCGTAGATGGTCTCCACAGAAATCTGAAATACTACGAGACCCTGCACTCGTCACACCTTCACCACAGAATAGTAAAACGTGGAGCTACGACGAGCAGTCATCCCTACAACAAGATAAACGAGGTGGAATTCTACGCACATGGCCGTCACTTTCGCCTGATTCTGACACCACGACGTGAGGTAATCCACTCGAATTTTAAGGCTTATGAGGTGACAGCAGATGGAGAGGAGAAGACAATTCACCTGGACCACGACAGTTTCTACCACGGACGAGTATTCGGGGAATTGGATTCCCACGCACAACTGCACATCGACGATGGAGTGATGACTGGCAGCATCAGGATAGATGACCAGACATACCACATCGAACCCTCCTGGAGGCACCTTCCACACCTAGACAACAGCAGCATGATAATGTACAAAGCCTCAGACGTCAAGCTGAGTTGGGAACACGTGGACAAAGATGGCGAGGGTCACACCCATGGAGTTCCAAAGACCTGTGGATATGTGCAGGAAGGAAAAGAGCCTCCGGAGGATGACGAACAAGTTTTTACCAACATAACGTCGTCGAGGAAAAAACGCCAAGCTGAAACGTACGAGTACACACCCACCAAGACACGGTGTCCTCTGCTGCTCGTTGCTGACTACAGGTTCTACCAGGAGATGGGAGCCAGCAGCACCAAGACAACCATAAATTATCTGATCAGTCTCATCGACAGGGTGCATAAGATTTATAATGATACACTCTGGCAAGACCGTATGGAGCAGGATGGCTTCAAGGGAATGGGATTTGTTATAAAAAAAATTGTTGTTCACAGCGAACCGACACGAGTTCGGGGAGGCGATACTCATTACAATATGGTGCGAGAAAAATGGGACGTGAGAACTCTCCTGGAGGTATTCAGCAGGGAGTATAGTCACAAGGACTTTTGCCTGGCCCACCTATTCACAGATCTGAAATTCGAGGGTGGAATTCTGGGTCTTGCGTACGTCGGTTCCCCCCGTCGTAACAGTGTCGGTGGTATCTGCACCCCGGAGTACTTCAAAAATGGGTACACATTGTACCTGAATTCGGGGCTGAGTTCAAGTAGAAATCATTACGGTCAGAGGGTGATAACGCGAGAAGCAGACCTAGTGACAGCTCACGAATTCGGCCATAATTGGGGCTCTGAGCACGATCCAGACGTGTCAGAGTGCAGTCCAAGTGCCTCTCAGGGTGGATCTTATCTCATGTACACGTACAGCGTCAGTGGTTACGACGTTAACAACAAGAGATTCTCCCCCTGCAGTTTGAGATCCATAAAAAAGGTGCTGCAGGCAAAATCGGGGAGGTGTTTCTCAGAGCCGGAGGAGTCATTCTGCGGTAATCTGAGGGTCGAGGGTGATGAGGAGTGTGATGCAGGACTCCTGGGGACTGAGGACAATGACGCCTGCTGCGACAAGAATTGTAAATTGAGGAGAAATCAAGGAGCTGTCTGCAGTGATAAGAACTCACCGTGCTGTCAGAACTGCGCCTTCATGAGGCTTGGCATGAAGTGCAGGGATGCTCAGTACGCAACCTGTGAGCAGGAGTCAAGGTGCACTGGTGCATCCAGCGAGTGTCCAAAGTCACCACCAATGAAGAATGGAACTGCTTGTTTGGAGAGGGGACAGTGCAGATTAGGGAAATGTGTTCCTTACTGTGAGACCCAGGGGCTCCAGAGCTGCATGTGCGATACCATTGGTGATGCATGCAAAAGGTGCTGCAGAATGAGTCTCAATGAGACGTGCTTTCCTATTGATCCACCTGATATTCTACCTGATGGCACACCCTGCATTCAGGGATTCTGCAATAAGGGAATTTGTGAGAAAACCATTCAAGACGTCGTCGAGAGGTTCTGGGATATCATTGAGGATATTAATATTAATAAAGTCATCAGATTCCTCAAGGATAATATCGTTGGGGCTGTTATCATCTGCACTGCTATTGTCTGGATACCTGCTAGCTGCATCGTTAGTTATATTGATAGCAGGAGAATCAAGGATAATGAGAAAAAATGGCGGTGGAAAAACACTGATGCACTCATTCATCCTGATGATAAGAGGAGGGTCATTCAGGTTGGCGTACCATTCAGCGGAAATTTGGAGCAGGGGGAGATGGGAGGGTAAGAATCCTGGGGAGAGTGGACTGTTCAGTAGCGATGGTAATCGAAGAATCTGAGAGCAATATTGGAGATTAAAATTTTGGTATCTTGGATTCAGAGGTATTCCGCAAAAATTCATCTATTGGCTTCATTGAATTGCTACTTTTGATGTTTCATACGGAGTCTTAGTGGAAATGATACCAGTGGAACGGGATTTACTTATTTATGGGTTCTAGTCAGTATTCGATGCATGCCACTGCATCATGTGTTCATGTTTCGTTTGGATAAATGGTTTTTATAATTTTTCAGATTTAAGGGATAATAAAGATAATATAAGTGACGAAGTATGAGTTCTTGATTTTGTAAAGAAAAATTATTACATGTTTTTGCATAAAAAAAATAGATTTCCGAATTATTTAGAAAAAAAAATGTCATCATCGGAAATCCGAGTTTACAAAACATTTTTTTTTTCCAATTCCACGAATGGAAATAATTTAATCCGAAGGAGGATTATATTGATTAAAAAATGTCGTAATTTCCCGCGCTCCTCCATTTGCCCTCCACTGTATTCCCCACCCGAAATTCCCCAGAAAACTCCCCAGCTATAATATTTTGTGCTGGCACGACGGTGTGGATGGGGTTCTGTGTTCGGTTTTATTTTCCACTGAGGAATATCAGTCTTGTGCAAATCTCGAATATCCTCACTATTGAAAAAACAATTCCCTGAATCAGCCTCACAAGCCCCTGGTCAAAGTGTGCACCCAGTGGGTGCCGGTGACAAGAGGGTCACCCCTAGATAACGCCGTCGAGTCCTCAAGACTACCGGCGTTCCAACGGCATCAGCCAGCTTTATCCCCGCTAAAATTCACCGTGGAAATCACCGCCAAATCATCCAGACGTAGCCCTCAACCCTTAAACCCAAACAAACAACCCTCCACAATCATCAACACCCACAATACCTTCGACATCCTGAATATTCTCGATATTCTCGATATTCGCGATATTCTGGTGCTGGGGGCAGTCCCCTGCCCACTTGCCCAATAACCTCCAGAGACTCCTAGATCCCCCACCCCTCAACAGAGAAAAAAAACCATCACCACCCCATACGAAAAAACCCCAAGAATTCCACTGATTCCACCCACTCCATCCCCCATCACCCCCTTCACCGATTCCACGGAATTTACCTGCTGGATAAGCCGCAAGCACTGAAAAAAAATCACCAGCCATGAAGCTCGTGGACCACGTGGTGAGGTCCTTCAAAGTGGCCAAAGTCTTCCGTGAAAACACCGACAAAATAAACAGCATCGACTTCTCCCAGAGTGGTGACACCCTGATCTCCTGCTCCGAGGACGATCAAATAGTGATCTACGACTGTGAAAAAGGCACACAGATGAGAACAGTTAATTCAAAAAAATACGGTGTCGATTTAATCCACTTTACACACGCCAAGAACACAGCTATTCACAGTAGCACAAAAGTCGACGACACAATTCGTTACCTCAGCCTCCACGACAACAAATACATAAGATATTTTCCCGGCCACACGAAGAAAGTTGTCTCGCTTTGCATAAGTCCAGTGGAGGATACATTTCTATCAGGATCACTCGACAAAACCCTGAGACTGTGGGACCTGCGTTCACCAAATTGTCACGGTGTTATGAATGTCTCTGGTAGGCCAGTAGCTGCTTATGATCCAGAGGGGCTAATCTTCGCTGCTGGTGTTAATTCAGAGTGCATCAAGCTTTATGACCTCAGGAGCTTCGACAAGGGGCCATTTGCCACATTCAAACTGTCACAGGAGAAAGAGTGCGATTGGACTGGATTGAAATTCAGTAGAGATGGCAAGACTATTCTCATTTCAACCAACGGCAGCATCATCAGGCTCATCGATGCCTTTCATGGTACACCTCTGCAGACATTCACTGGACATCTCAATAACAAAGGGATTGCCATCGAGGCCAGCTTCAGCCCGGACTCGCAGTTTGTTTTCTCAGGATCAACCGATGGCAGAGTTCACGTGTGGAATGCTGACACTGGGTACAAAGTTTGTGTTCTCAATGGAGATCATCCAGCTCCTGTTCAGTGCATACAGTTTAATCCCAAGTACATGATGCTTGCATCTGCCTGCACCAATATGGCTTTTTGGCTGCCCACTGTTGAAGATACTGCATAAATTCAGAGGCAATCACTTCAACTTGAATTTATGTTCAACTGGACACGCCCCGGCGGGATGATCTCAGATGAGTTATGGGGACTTTTCATGATGATGATGTTTTTTTTTTGTTGTACAATATTGAGTGACGAATAAGGACACACGTGAAAACTGTGAGATGCATTTCTTTTTCTTTGTCTTCTCGTTCTGGTTCTCCTCTTCCTGATTTTTTTGGGGCTCGGGGGGGGGGGGGGGGATCTTTGGGGGAGATGAGAAGTGTGTGATAAAGACACGGTCAATAGATCTCGTAAGGTTTACCGATTAGTATTGACGATGTCTGTAAATAGACGATATTTCTTAGCCTTTAGGTTGCACTTGTCTGATATATTTGTGGCTCTGAGGATATCGTGGGCCTGTGAGAAGAAATCCAGGGTAGGGCGATTGTACAGTTCTGTTAAATATCGATTGGACTTGAAGTTTATTGATTTTACGAGAAAATCGATGGGGAACTTTTTTTATCGGTTGTTTAATTAGCTACTCTCAAGTTTTTTTTATGTTTTTACCGTGAATCTGTAGTTTTTTAGATAAATCGATTATTATGGGAAATGGTACGTTCGCCTGAAATTTGTTTATCACTTGGCTACTCATAGGGAACAACAGTTAGCCCCCCTCCTCCCTGGCCCCGTTTTTGATGAATTTTATTTGTATTATAAGGGACTTAAAAATTAATGGAAAGCATTTTTTTATCGCTTTACTCAAGAGAAATAGCATTTTTTCAATTTTCTTTTCACTCATAAATTGCATTTTTTTTACTTCATACATTTGAAAATGAAATTAGTTCCAGAAAGTTGAAAATAGTATTTTTTTTTAATTGAAAAAATGAAATTTCAATTGGGAATTGTTTTTCCCGCGAAGTGTTTAAAAAAATAATTTGAGTTTTTGCATATATCGCCGAAAGTAAGCGAGATAATGAATTTTTTGTCTGAATCTTTTTTATCGAGCTAATGAAGAGCAGCAAAAAAAGTTATTACAAAAATTTCGCTATTTCCCTTATTATCGGAGATATTTCGCAAAAATGTGATTGACATACATTGAGGTAATGAATAATGGGCAATAATTTATAAATGAGTCCTCTATAATAAAGTTCATTAAAATGACAAAGAGGGGGGAGGGGAAGGGGGACAGGGGGGCATTTATCTAATGTTCTCTGTGAGTTACTAATCTGGAAAACTAGATTGATTAGATAGTCGCTCTCCTCCAATGATTCTCCTCTTTTCTACCAATTAAACATTCCCCCTTGTCCTCTCATTTTAATGACAGTAGTCGAGGGAATATGAAATAATGACGAGTAGCGATTGAATCTACGTAATTACAATGTGATGAAAAAAAATTTATAGTGTGACAGGTATGAGTGTTGAGGAGGTGTATGTACCTATTTATCGGTATGGGCAAATTGATTATGCGAGTGTACGTGCAACCCTATGTAATATAGTATTTTTTTACACAAAAAAAAAATTATCAGAATTATTGTACGTAATTATAATTCAGGATTCATTTGTATTTGATTGTATAATAATTACAGATTTGAGAGACGAAATTAAACGGAGATGAATCATAACATGAATATTGATTAAATTGTCTATTAGTTAAGGAGTAAGAGGGAATGTAGGTTGAGGGTTATTTAAATGCCCTGATACCAATGTATATAATTGCATTTTCGTGCTAAGGGGACAAATTACCTGTAAAGATTAAATTTGCATTTTCAACATTCACAGTTTTCAAAATTTTAAGAAATTGGAGAAAATCAATTTTCAGAATATTTCGATGTTTTCTCCTCCACCCACTGTTTGTCAAGAAAATTCATTTGAATGTCATCACTAATTATTCTGAATAATTAGAGGAGATGCGTCCCTTTCCGTCCGCATAATACGATAAATTACAATTTATTTAAAACTAGAATAACAACGCAACAGCTGATTCTCCATAGTACGATAAAATCCGCAAGTGAGAATAATTGTCATTAGGTACAGACGATTGAATTGTAATTAATCATAATTTATGTTTGAGAATCTTCCAGGATGTCGAGACATCTGCATGCATTTTTTTAAGCCATGGGAATCGAATTTCTGTCCTGATTGGTGGTAACGAATCAATAATTACTAGTAATAAGTCACAATTCAACTGCAGGATGAATATCTAAGAAATCCTTGTACCCCCTGTTAAAATTTAATAAGTACAGAGTACGGAACTATTAGTTTGCTCAAATCAATCGATATTTAACAAAACTAAAATTCTCTTGGGTTTGATACCAGAATTTATTCTCAGACTAATTAAATTTTCCAACATTCTATCATTTTTTATTCTTCGGTCCTATAAAATTGACAAGATCGTCACTAACGTGAGCCCTTGTATATTTTTAATATATTTTTCTGGGGGTAGATTTTTTCCTCTGTCCTTTCCTCTCATTTCGACACAGTCATTACCCTAATTGCATCTGGATTTCAATAATTCGGGGAAGGGCTAGAGGAAATATTGATTTTTAGGGCTATTGTTCATCTAAGGTGTGATTGTGTGATTATTATGCGGTAGTAATTAATATCTCACAACTGTTAGGATATTTGTAACCAGAAAGAGTCACTGGGAGATGTGAAAATATTTCTAGGGAAATGGCAAAACGTCGTAATCGCGTTCTCCATGAAATTCATGTCCTTTTGTCATTTCACTATTGAATTCAATGTGTTAGAGACGATTTTTCAATCTTCATTTTCTGTAGTTTATTAGAAATTCCGTGGGGACATTTGAGAGGATATGTTTAATAAAATAAACTGCGTTTTATACACCTCAGGGAATTGTTTGAATTATTTATTTCTCATGATGTTTTACCAGCTGTCATTTTCAGGTGATAGAGAGTTTTTTCCTCGTCAGAGATCTCCGCCGGAGCTCCGGACATTAGATCTTTGCCATCTCCAGTCTTGGGGAAGGCTATTACTTCTCTGATGCTCGGGGAATCACACATTATTGATAGTAATCGATCCAGACCTAAATAAATAAAGCCATTCAAGTAAAAATAAGAAGTAAACAAATTCATAATTGATCATTTCACTTTTACTGGAGATCAATTATTATTTTTAAGTAAATCCCAGTAAACTGAGGAGCAAATGTCAATAGTTTCGTAGAAATTTTTGTGAATTGTTTTCCGATTTTTTTGTATTTGTGTATGGAATTATGAGTAATTGATCATTACCGAATGCAATTCCTCCATGAGGGGGTGCCCCACTCTTCAAGGCCTCCAGCAGATGCGTCATTTGAGAAGTATCAATATTTAACCAGTTTAATACTTTCTCTTGTAATTCTGCATCGTGAATTCTAATTGAACCTCCAGCTATTTCAGAACCGTTGAGCACCAGATCGTAATGCAATCCTCGAACCTTTGAGGGAAAATACCGAAATAATATTCCTTAAAAGACTTTCGCAAAGAGTTTAATTGTTACCTTTAGAGGATCACTTTCGAGGTACTGTACATCTTCAGGGTGAGGTGCAGTAAAAGGGTGATGGGTGGACGCGAGAGTATCATTATCAGTTTTTTCGAATAACGGAAAGTCCACAATCCACAAAAAATTAAAGCTCTTCGATCTTACCGGTAAACCCTTTGCTTCCATGATATTGCTAAATTCTTTAAGGACTTTACCAAGTAGTTTCCTCTGAAAAATAATTTATTAAGAGTTCAGACTTCTACTTTTTAATTATCTTAGTATTTTTAGTACTCACTGCATTGTCTTTATGCCCTTGAGCAATAAATACTGCATCATTCTCATGGATATTGAATTCCAGCTGGAATTTCGAAGCATCTATATTGCATTTACTTTCGAGTTTTTCCTGCCAATAGCCAGAAGCCTTCATTTGATTGAATACCACTTTCGTATACTTAAATTCCTTAATGAGTTCCATCATTTGTGTTTTCACAGAATTCGTAAGAAAATTCTGAAATAATATTGAATAATTCTTAATTGAAGATAAAATCCTTTAGATCAGAGATTAATTAATCAAGATTAATAATCAATAATAATTAATGTTGAACAAAGAATGGAGGACTTACAGATCCTTTTGGAATCAATAAAGCATAAACCCCAAAGTTTTCGACGTTATCACTCAATTTTCTTGTTAATAAATTTGTGATATTGTGTATCTGGAACAAAACAAAATTATTTTATCATTCGTAATAAATAAAATATTTATTATGCAGATTTATTGGGCAGGAGACTGACTCGATATGGAATCCGGAGATCTGGCTGATCAGATCCATACATATCCATGATTTCCTCGTACGTAAATCTCTTGAAAGGAACCGTTACGTCTCCAAAATCCTTCGGCCAGCAATTCGCAATCAGCTGCTCCACCATCGTCATGATTCCCTCTCGATCAGTGAAAGACATCTCTATATCAAGCTACAGGAGCATGAATTCAATGAAATTAATTCCCTCCTTTCCATTTTTCCGAATTTGAATGAATTCTGAAGAAAGACGTCACTAATAGATTTTCAGTTAATCAAAAAATAAATTACTTGAGTGAATTCCGGCTGACGATCCGGTCTCGCTGTTTCATCCCTGTAACACCTGGCAATCTGAAAATACCTGTCGATGCCTCCGACCATCAGTAACTGTTTAAACTGCTGGGGACTCTGGACGAGGGAATAAAATTTCCCTGGATGCTGGGTAGGGACGACAAACTCCTGTGCTCCCTGAAAAATCCCCCGTGGCCCCTTGAGTCCTGAATCTCCAATAAAGTCTGAGAGAAAATTATTTGATTTGATTTTACCCCTGGAGTTCTACGAAAGAGCGTGGGAGTCTCAACGTCGACGAATCCACAGTCGTCGATGAGGAAAAATCTCATTTTATTGAGAAGCTGAGATCTGACTCGCAGATTCCTCTGCAGAAAGGGAAACCGAAGAGCAAGGTATCGGTACTGCATCTGCAGGTTCTCCTTGGGGACATTAAATTTCCTGATGGAGAACGGCAGCTGGGGGAGGCACTCATTATGGACCTGAAGGGATTTGATTTTCACCTCGATTGCTCCTGTTCTCATTTCTGGATTCTCCTGTCCTGGGGGACGAGCCAGTACCGTCCCAGTGATGCTCAGGACACTCTCGAAGTACAGGTGCTTCACAATTCTTATTAAATCACTTTTCTGAAGACAAATTATTTTATTATCAATTCACCTGAGGATAAGTCCTCTAAATCATTTCAGAAAAATTAATTCCAATATAAAAATCCCTTGAAATTCACCCCAGAAAAAATTAAATGGTAAAAAGAATTTGATGATTATCGATTGATCTCGAAAGATTTCAGGTGAAGTTAAATTAAAAACAATGAGGGACTTATTTATAAAGTGAAGAATCTCACAGCATTTGGAATAATCAACTGTGTAGATCCATAGGAATCCCTCAGGATGACGAATTTTCCCATTCGATGGAACTCCATCCATCCACATAACTGAACATCTTCTCCAACATTTTCTAGAGTTAGCTCTCCACATGTATGAGATCGCTGAACGAATTTATTCACAGGAGCAATTTCCCTCTCGGTCTCGACACTCTCCAGGGCATTGGTCGAATTTTTGGTGTGCAATCTGCAGAAGGAAGTGGTGCACCTAGTGCAGAAGTCATTCTGCAACAAAAAATAATAGTTCCCTTTTCTTCATTATATTTTTAAAATTTTTGTGATGACACAAAACAGTGGAATCTCACAGAGTATCATCATTTATCTGTGGAATTAATTAATTAATTGATGGATTGGTAATTACCTTTATTCTACAATTATTTACAGAGCCTAGGACCTCCGAAGTCACCGGCACGATACATTTTTTAATTAAATACCGAGAGAATCTCGTTGTCCACATTTTCACTGAAAACACTGGACATAACGACCAATCAGGGGACGATCATCTGACAATGAGTTTTGGAGTGATTTTGAGGTTAAAATCCTCTGGATGAACGCATCGTCGTTTAGTTTACGTTGACATAACAATCTCTAAACAATTAACAAATCACTGAAATTACATTGTTGGAAGTAATTAAATCGCATCAACTGTTTTTAAAGAACTGCTGAATTATTTTAGTACTAAATAAAAGTGTTATTTTCATTAAAAAATTAACGTTTCCCCGGTGAAGGCGTCGATCATCAGCGAAAATGGTAAATGGCGCGTTTTTTCGTTACTATTAACTTTTTTAATGAGTAAATAAAATTCTACTGGTTGCATTAGGTCTCATTAAACTTTGGAATTACCTAAATTATTTTTTTGTGTTTTAGTTGCCACTCTCGTTGCTCAGAACAGCCCAGAATCATCCAATGGTAATTCGCCAATCTCCCCGGTCGTCATAATATTAATATTTATTATTTTTTCAACACAATGATTCAATTTTCATTGAATTTTACAGCTTGTGGAGCTGAAAAATGGAGAAACTTATAATGGACATTTGGTGAGCTGCGATAATTGGATGAATATCAATCTCAGAGAAGTCATTTGCACATCCAGGGTGAGTACAGATGATCATAAATTTGGGAGTATGGAGCAATATGGACACCAGTTTTGAATAATGCCATTAAATGAATGTGGATTGTTGCTACAACTTCATTTGCAGATGAATAATGCAACAACGTTGAGATGATGTATCAAATAAATTTTCATTGGATATCTCTCAGGAGATGGTAAACAGCGCAATTTTCATGTAGCCTCTTTTGTAAGTCTGATTTTGTTCTAGAAGAAAGATTCTTGGAGAAATTCTCCGATGTTCGTGAAAAGCTGCTGAATTTTTATGATGTCCATTTTACCCCACCCGTTTCTAATAATGACTCATAAAAAATTGAATTATAATCAATATTCAGTGGAATAAATTAACAAAATAATTGAAATGAAATAAAGACCTGAATAATGCCCTTGATTAGGATGGAGACAAATTCTGGAGAATGCCAGAGTGCTACATCAGAGGGAGTACAATAAAATACCTGAGGATTCCCGACGAAGTAATTGACATGGTGAAAGAGGACGTCCAGATGAAATCGAGGGGAAGAGGAGATATGAAGGGCCGAGGTGGACAGAACCAGAGAGGAGGGAGAGGAGGTGGCAGAGGTGGTGCATTTGGAGGACGTGGTGGTCGAGGACCTGCACCCCTCGGCCGTGGCGGTAATCAAGGGAACAAACCCCTGAATAAATCACGACCCAAGTGAATCCACATCTTCACCGTACTCCACCTAAATTTATTTAAATCTATTTTTTCATCCAAAATCATCAGTTTCTCCACTCAAAATTACGTCAACCATTCAGAGACATTGAAAATCATGTTGAAACGTTGATAAATGTTGTAAAGCTTGTAAAATAAATGATTAAAAAGAAATAATAAGTTTCATTCCTCAATTACGATTTTTATTCAAAAAATCAAATCACAATTACTTAAAAAAATTTATTAAGTCTAGACACTTCACTCAGGTGATAATTATCAATCAACCGTAGCAATACTTCGATAGAAGATAATTTGATAAATCAAGCAATATTATAAATAAGAATATACAGAGACGATGACCCACTGTGGACATAATAATCAATTGAATCCGTCGATGATATTGTCTTGATTGTTTTAATATTCGGGCGTTGCGTTTTCCTTCACGATTGGTTTTGTCATCGCCTTGTAATTACGGTGAAGAGACTTGATTCATACGATTGTAAAACCAAAAAATGTTCATAGACTCGTTAACGTGTTCTGTCATCTCTATGAACTCATTTATTGCGCCTTCCATTAATAATAATGGATTTATTAATGCCAGCGTGGCATACAAATGCTGATTCCATTCGGTATCGTCAATAATTTTATCGGCCTTCAACTGAAAAAATAATAATATCAATGGTAAATTATTTATCATAATCTCCTTTTTAAGAAAATCATTGAATACATATGCAATACGAAAACTTACTGTACGAGGCCAAGTCGATCTCGTCGGGTAATTCTGTGATATTAACGTCGAATCTCTCCTGAACGTCATTCAGGATTTTTGCGTCACTCTCATCACTGACGAGGGTAATTGCGAGTCCCTGGGAACAATAATAAACAATTTAATTAAAGACCAGACGTCAAAAAGCCAAAAATTCAGCGAAACAATCAATTTTTCTAATTACTTTGGTTCCAAAACGTCCAGCACGAGCGACTCTGTGGAGATATGTGTCAGAATCCTCGGGCATGTCATAATTGAAGACGATGTTGACTCTCTCGATGTCCATGCCACGACCAAAGAGATTTGTTGCTACCAAAATTCTCTGAAACCCAAGAATAAATTCCTCGATAAAGCAGTTCATCCCGAAAAGTTTCAAGAAGTTAATTTATTTATAATAATTCAGTAGAGAGTTCAAGAGTAAACATTCACGATGTGATCATGAGGTTGAAAAAGTCATCATTAGCTGACGAAATAGAAATTATTTGATTCAAACTACTGGCGTCATTCTTGAATTAATAATTGCCAATGTCTCACCTTCTGGAAATCTTTGAATTGCTGATATCTGGAGAGACGCTCCTCCTGGGTCATTCCTCTGTGGATTCCAATGGCTGGAAAATTTTGCTCTGTCAGAAGTTGCGCCAGGGCCATGCAACGCTGAACTGATTTCACAAAGATGACGACCTGTCACCAATTCCAAAAATATAATCAACTATACCTTTCACTGCAAAAGAATAAATCCAAATAGTTCCAAAAAAAATCTACCTGATTGAACTCCAAAACATCCAGCAGCTCAAACAACTTTTTATTTTTCTCATTCTCCTTCAACTTCACGTAATGCTGCTGGAGTCCATGAAGTGTGAGTTTGGCTTCATCATCGACGTAGACTTCCATAGGCTGCGCAAACAACAATAAAATGAGAAAGCCCATCCTAGACCCCCAAAAAGTCCTGACCAAGACGTAAAAAATCAATTCAATTCGTTTATACAAATGAAATCAATTCAATTCGTCGATCAAAACTGAGTCTTCAAAAACCGTAAATTTTAAAATAAAAAAAAAAGTAAAAATAAACCGCAAAAACTAATAGAATTAATTTAGTAACAAATAATGATCATTTTTTTCCATTTTCTCTTCTTTTTTTTATCATTTTCTTTTTCATTTTTTTTTCTCGAATCAACAACTGATCTTATCGTTGATGACATTATCACACTGGTTACATACGGTCCGGCGACTTCCATCTCAAGGTAGTGCCAACAACGTAAACACTCGGCATGTCAAGACCCTGACCAGAACTAAGATGTAGCCACCCAGGAATGCTCAGCCACAATATCCACAGCCCGTTGCCCAAACACTCCATAATCACTCGTCATTATTTCTCATCAGAGATATTCCTCAGGATATCGTCGATGGATCCCAAACCCCCACTGAATTCCCCTCATCCCTGAATTTAATTCCCCTAACGATTGTTTAACGCCGACGATCTAACTGCCTCTCTATTCTAATCGCATAGCCCCCAAGAGTCCTCTTGAATCTTCTTTCTTGCATCTTCTGTCTTCTTTTTCTTCTTGATGTACTCCTGCCCCCTCCAGCCCCCTCCAGCCCCCAAAAATAACTTCGCATTTCCCAGTTTTTCGATTAACGACCACCCACCCACCGATTTTTTTAACGAATCAAGGATTTTTGTTTTACTCATGTGGAGGATGATTATCGGATTTGGACAAAGGAGAGCTTTTGGGAGATTAACCTCAGGAATTTTATCGATTGGACAAGAGGATCCGGAATTATTGGATCATGGGGAAAAATTCAAGGGAATATAGTGGATTCAGCTTTGAATTCTGTTATTTGTTTTGTTTGTGGTTATTCTGGTTTCTCTAGCTAGCCTAACCCGCGAGAACACCCGGAGTATAATCGTGGTCTGAGCTCTCCCCTGGGTGTGAACTTGGGGATGTCCAGGGTGTGATCAAATTCAAAGATTGCGGTGAAGAGGAAGTTTGGCTAATTACATCTTGCATGAATTTCTTGCACACTGGACGAATATCCTTGGACAAGGTAGCGCTGAACATCATTACTTGTTTGCCGTGGGGAGTGGAACGGAATATTTCTTGTACGTCCCTTCGCATATCTGTGAAAACCCAGAAAAATAATTCATTACTGGAAATAATCGAGGAATTTGTCATCATGGGAGATTTTTTTTTCTCTAGTCAGTTGTGGGTGGTAGATATGTTTGTCATCATACGAGGCTATGATTATTTCAACATCATTCTAGAATTTTTCATTACTTATCACCGAGTTTTATTGCAAATTAAGACTTCCCGTATTTTCAAATAATTGATTTATCATTACATTCTCTGACTTATCAGATGACTTACCCAGTAATTCCAGCATTTTGTCGCACTCATCGAGGATGAAATGCTTGAGGTGTTTGAGGTTGAGCTTCTTAGTTCTCACCAGGGCGAGAATTCGACCTGGGGTACCCACCACGATGTGGGGACATGTGTTTTTCAAGACCTCTTCGTCTTTCTGGATGGGAAGACCACCAAAGAACACTCCCACCTGTAATTGCATTAGCAAATTGGAGATTTAATTGCTGTCTTTTCCCTGTCTTTTGGGTTCATGAGATTAGCTAGAACTTCGTCAGTAGTGGGTAGTGGTAAATGCAGTAGTCATCATATTAGGCTCAGACTTAGGCAACATCATTCAAAGATCTCAAATGTACTTGTCCAATTGTTTTCCAGGTTTTTTTTTTCAACAATAAGAATTTCTAATATTGAACGTGAGACTCAACAAAACGTTTCTTTACAATTGTATTGTGATATAATAATAGCAAACGGACCTCAAGCATTCAACAGCCCACGTAGAAAAAGAATTCAATGGAAAACAATTACTCAAGACTGAATCATTTCATGAAAAAATAAAATATAATATAAATAATTTACCTTGACTGCCGGCATGTATTTCGAGAATCTCTCATATTCTTTGCTGATTTGGAAGGCAAGCTCACGTGTATGGCACATGACGAGAACATAGACTTGATTCTCAGTGAGTTCAAGCTGTTGCAACGTCGCCAATACGAAAACTGCTGTTTTCCCCATACCAGACTTCGCCTGGCACAGAATATCCATGCCAAGAACAGCTTGTGGAATGCATTCGTGTTGTACTGTCAACAAAAAGAAAAATTAATTACCAAAAGTTCCAGAATAATTCAGAAAATATTTCTGGGGTTTTAATCACTCAGAGAGATTTTTCTCAGTCACTGACAATCTGTTGTCCCTATCTACCTCGTAATTCTCATCATTTGTTTCCTAATTTTTATCGGTTTATTCGAAATAATTCGTGGAAATAGTCACCTTCGGAGGGATGCTCGAAACCACAATCGACAATGGCCCTCAATATCTCTGGCTTCAGCAGAAAATCTCTGAATCCACTGCTGTGAATAGACACATATGTTCCCTTAACTTCCTTCTTTGCCGGGACGTCACCACTTCCATCAACAACTGCCTCAGTCTGCTCCTCATCCTCGTAATCCAAAAGATCGTCGTTGTCAGCCATTCTACTGGGGATCCTCTTCAATATACGTTAACCCTGTGAATTAAAAAAGCAAAATTTAACCACTTGAACTCAGTTTATTACAGGATTCAATGAATATTTACTGTCTTTCAATTTTTCAATACAAAAAATCATAATTTTTTAATTAACGAAGTAACGAGAATTTGACGGTGAAAGATTAAACTGCCAAATAGGATTTCAAATTTATTATGATCTCGAGTATTTATGAGCCAATTTTGTTGATTAATTATGTAAAAAAACCAATCCGCCATTTTCGGCCTCGTGTTGACTTGTAACGACGCACAAAGCCCTTAGGTCTTAAAAATATATTTTTAGAACCGAAATAAATTAATCAAACGACATAAAATTCCCCGAAACAGAATAATCCAAATATTTTTCAATTTAAGGCAAATATTTTTAACGTTTTCTCAGTTATCCACGTGAAATAAATACCAAATATTTCGGTATGACGAAAGAAAATAATACAAATTCTTCTTTAAAAAAACAACAATAATAAGGAGCGATTAATACAGATTTAATTGTGAAAATAGAAACTGAGAGAGAGAGAGGCAGCATTATCTTTAATCTCGAATGTTCCTTTGAGATTATAATTTTCACTATCAATTATGTAAACGAAATCCGCCATTTTCGGCCTCGTGTTAACCTGCACCGACGCCCAAAGCCCTCCAATTTTCAAAAACATTTTACAATCCACAAAACTACTCGATTCTTGCAAATCTGACTTCACACATCACATAAATCCAGATCCACAAACAGATAATTAATACAAATAATAATAACAAATTAAACAGCAAATTCTTACAAGGCCAAATAATTTGCCTACGTGGCGTCGGCCTGGCAAAACACCAAAATTCGTCGAATAACGGAGTAATAACAGAAAATAAATCCTTCAATGGCATCTCCAATAATTGATTAGTCATAAAATCGTATCAATAACTGTCGATCGCTATTAAAAATACCGATTAATTATGGATTACAAACTCACCAACGAACTCACAACTGCCTGATGCCGTGATAAACAGGACACTAACAGTTAAAAAAAATGGCTGCTATTTCTGACGCCTTTCTGATCTAAAATCTGAACTACTACCGCCCCCTAGATTCAAGCGGAAGTCTTCATTATCCCGCAATTACAAATTTTTCATCGTAACGAACAAGAATGTCAACTGTCCGTTATTAATTTCTATTTTTTAATCGCAATTTAATGTTTCAGGCTATTTCTTCCGAAGATGATTCCCTGGGACGTCTTCACTTTGAGACAATTCTACTGCTGTAGTCAAATATCTGGGCTAAATACCTCCCTAAACAACAACATCTCTGAAAACAATTATCCCGTGTCTGCAATTGTTAATTATTATTGAATAAAAATTGGAGAATTCTGGAAGGTGCCTTTCTGTTGATGGATATTAATGGGTGTCTTCCCGCGGAAATTTCAAGTTTTTTAATGGTAATTAGGAAGAGATACATCTGGGCTGAGGTTGAGGGACAATTGACTGCTTGATAAATTTTTCTGTCACCTGGGGATCAAGAGAAATTACTCTGGAGTTCGATTTCAACGAGGAATTACCTGGAAGTTGACGCACGAAGGTGAGGGATTTATAAAGTAAAGAGTGTTTTTTTTTTGTTATAAAAAATTATATTCTTGTGCTGACATTGCATTTATATGTATTTTTACCCTATCACAGTAAAGGAGGTGTCCCAATTTGAAGAATTGAAGTAAAATTACGGAGAAAGACTATTGGGTGCGAGAGACTGCGTGATGAAGTGTTAATTAAGGAAAATCATTGGTTAATGATCCCGAAGGGATTTAATTGTCATTATCTTTGTTAGAGAATTGTTCTCTTCGTTCAAATTTCGCAATAAGTTCTTACTGATTCAACAAGACGGCGCCACAACAATGAGCTTTTTTTAAATTGAAATTGACCTCAGGCTAGTTACTAATTATTAAGGAGGGATTATTTAATTTCGTACATTAATGACATTCATTAGCGCTTCACGTTAATCTAGTTACAAAAACAACTAAGGACTAATCAACGATGAGATATAAAAATAGATAATATCATAATTAGTAGTCAACACTTTGTCGAAGGGGAAATACCATTGATTGTAATTATTCTCATTACGATTTGGGGGAGGGGATTATTGACTAGCGACTTCACCGGCTTCGAGCACTTGAATCCACTTGAATAACAATTTTTTTTTATCGAGTCTGCCGAGCTAAAGCAAATCCCTAAATTTTCCATAATAATATAAAAATGTTTCAGGTACTAAATAATATCTGAATAAAATGAGAATTTCTCTGAATTTTAAACACATGAAAATCAATTTTTGGGAATCTGTTTTCGAAATATTTAGTGGCTGAAGGATTTCCACAAAAGCTCGGAAAATTCAGGGGTTCGATTTCCATATTCCCAGAATAATTCAAACCGCGTGATTATTATTCTTCCCAATAATCTCCACTGAAGTCCTCTGATACTGATCCTTCCTAAAGCTCCCAGAGAACCCATTCAACTCATCAAGGATCGACTCAATATCCCTGCCTTTGGTTTCTGGAATGAAGAAAAATGTGAATACCAACGTGCAAATGCAGAAGGCAGCGAGAAGAAAGAATGCGCCGTCGATGCCAAGTAGATCCATGACGAAGGGAAAGTACTTCATATTGAGAAATGCGACAATCCACATAAAGACCATGGCAATGGAATTGGCGAAGCCTGATATATCAGAGCTGAAGACTTCTGAGGCGACCACATATGGGGCTGGGCCCATCCCTAGGCAATAAACAATTGCATAGCCTGAGATTGCGATAACTGGAATCCAGGAAAACGAACTGACATCGTGACCCCAAGACTGAACACACAGGAATGCTCCCAGTATGCAGTGACAAATGGCCATTCCAGCAGAGGAAATCATGATGAGGGGCCTCCTTCCAGCCCTTTCCATCATCAACGTTGATAGCCATGACCCTAACACCTGGGTACCACCTACAAGGACAGTTGCTATATTTGGCTGCAGAGAACTTCCAGCCATTTTGAAGATCGTCGCAGTATAGGCGACCTGATAATAAGATTGTCAATTAATTATTAAATTTTCGTTATAGAAAAAAACGCAGAACATTAGGATTCAGGAGGAAATGAAATTTTTCTACTCACCACTGCACTAATTCCACAGAATTGCTGGCCTCCCAGCATGGCGATGGCGATCATGAAACCCTTGAACGTTCCCCGGTCTCTGAACAACGCGCTGAACCCAACAGATTTATTATTAGCTGTATTCTCCTTGGCAAGGGCTTGGAGTCTCGATAATTCCTGTTCAACAGTCGCCTTGTTGTTGCCCTTCAGCCACATCAATGATCTAGACACAAATTGTTAACGAATTATTGACTATATTATGAAGGAAAAAATTGCACATCCTAGTTTACGAATTCGATATTAAACTCACCTAGTGGCTTCTGCGATTCGTCCTTTTCTCATCAGATAAATCGGTGTCTCAGGCATAAAAAGAAATCCTCCGAGGAAGAGAGCCACATTGACAAGTGCGCAAATAGCAAAAATATTGTACCGCAGAATGGCACCGAAGATGTACGCCATGAGGATGCCGATGTTGACGGAGAAGACGAGGATGCTACCGTATTGTCCTCTGACAGTGTCACCAGTGATTTCGGATATGTAGATGGGAATAACGAAGATGATGAGTCCAGCTGCTATTCCAGCGAAGAGACGGGCTGCCCAGAGGTAGGTGTAGTCCACTGCGAGGAGGATCAGCAGCCAGCACAGGCCTGAGGGTATCGCGATAATGCAGCCAGTTATTTTTCTACCGAAACGCTCTGCCAGGGGACTGCAGAAGGGCAGAATCCCCAGAGCTCCCACACACAGCATTCCATTCATCCAGGACATCTGTTCGCTCGTCATTGGAACTGATCCTATCGGCGTCTCTTCCGACTGCAACAGCGGAGCCATCGGCGATGACCAACCCAGGATCAACCCGTAGGCCAGACTTGATAAATTAACTGCAATCAAAAAGACATCATCATCAAAATTCAACATTTTATTGATGAACATTATAATTTCGTCCCACTATTCCCCGGAAAATAAAATTCAAAATGAAAACTAGAATTTCAAAAAAGTTGTGGAATTCCCTTGGGATTTCTAAAACTTAAGAATTTTTGGTAAATTAGGGTAATAACAAATTTTTTGCATAAACATTTTTTATAGAAAAATATAAGAGCTAGAGAAAAGGTATTCATGGAAATTTCGTAATCTTCCTTCCATTCCGAGATATTGAAAAAAAATTAGTCAGCAATGCATGAATCAATGAATTTTCTCAACTTACTTATAATTGTCGCAAAGAATTGCTTCCACTTTCCCGGCTCGACCCCCGCTGTTTTTCGTGTATTCATTCTTGTTGTTTTAATTAAGATAAACTTCTTCACTTGTATAGAAACTATAATGTAAAATATATAGGTCTTGGGGGAGTTCAAAAGACAATGAGGTGATGAAAAGTCATTCAGATGTGGAGGATCAACTTCTCCGGAGGCTCGTCGACCAATGCAATTACGACATTTCTCCCTCTGTATATGATTTTATAGGAATTGCCCAGCCCCCAAGTTCATCACTCTTATCATGCCACGTGAGGACAATGCTTACATTACAAATAATCTACCACAATCTTCCACATACGAAAGAGCAAGGGTGCAATATATAGGAGCTTCGTTTAAATCTCCGAAATTTGATCAAGGATCTATTATCGAAGCCGCGGGGATATTATTACGAATTACCAGTTCGAATTTCATCATGACGATTCATTTTTTTAAAATTTACCTAAAAATAAGTTAAACGTGCGTCAAATGCTTCGTTTACTCGGAGATCAGTTTCTTGTGATCGTTATTTACAACTCGAGACACTACTTCCAGTAGATTGCAAATTTACTCAATGATTAATTCAAATGTCTGATAATGAGTTTTGAATTTGATTTATCCCGTTTATTCGATAGTTGCGGAGGTTCTAATCTCTGTATAATTGTGTGGCGACAGAGACTGTCATAAATTATAAGTGTTGTTATTTTATTTGAGAGGGAAATGAAAATTAATGACGATATGGAGGGAAAAATGTATTTTTGCCATGTACGGCGCAATTTTCAAGTAATTTAAATTATTTTTTTACAATAATTAATTATTTATGGTACCAAATTGAATTTCACTTAGAGAATTTTATTTCGAACGAAATACAATTTTTAATTGTTTGTTTTAAATCAATTTGAAAAATATATATTATTTTCGTGATGATTAACACAATTAACATTAACTCAATGTTTCAGAGGCAGAATTTTTATAATTGTCGAATCCCTCTCGAAATACGATGGCATGGCGTTGCAGTGGAACAACAAATCAAGAGATGATAGCGAAACTGAAACGTAAGAATAATTTAATATTTTAATAATTAATAACAAAACATGTTTTTATGATTTTAAAAAATTATTGTTTTATTTTCTACTCTGGGTAGAAATGAAAGGAAATGCTATTCCGATATAATTTTTTTTTTTTCAAAATTACATTTAGTCTAGATGGAATTGAAGTTTTAGAAGTCAATGATTAATTCAAATTTTCAGAAAGTACAATTTTAACATCGGAGAGAGCTGAGGCCGCGATGCTCGCAATTGACAGAGGAAAGTACTGCCACGAATCCGATCCATACCTGGACCGCCCCAGGAGAATAGGCTACAACGTAACCATCAGTGCCCCCCACATGGTAATCACCCCTAAAAAATAAATATCACACGAGAATAATCCCATGAAAAACTGGGGATCACCATTTTTTTTTAATAAAAATTCGGAGTAAGGAATCTGCTGCTTATTAATTAATAACTAAAGGAATAATTAAAAGTTAAGGAAAGAGTCTTTTTTTTATTGCGCCGATTATTCAAAATATTTAATATTTACTATTCAAATAGTTACAAAATTATTATAAAAAACAAGACAAATTTCGTAAAGAAATCATTTGATTTTTATATTAATTTTTTTGGAGTGGAATACTAATTGATACAATTGGATTAATTACTTATTTAGTAATTGATAGTCAATTTTCCGAAATAGTATATGATAAATTATATTTTATTGAATGTTTTTACTTCGTTTGCCCCGATAAATAATTATTTTTTATTTCGGTAGGATGACTTATAATTCAGAGAATTGCATTACGAGCGTCACGGGGTCAAGCTTATCTAACGATGTCACAATTGCCGATAGCTAATCATTTTTTTAATCGCGATTTCGCAAAATATTCCAACGACAAGTGCATTGATAATGAAAATAGACGGGTTTGAAGAGTAAATAGAGCCGACCCTGACCGTCCGATGTGTGAAGATTGATAATTGCTGTGATAATAATTGATGTTTCAGCACGCTTATGCGCTATCGATACTCACAGAGCACCTGAAGGAGGGATCCAGAGCCCTGGACGTGGGTTCTGGTTCTGGTTATTTGACTGCTTGCATGGGGTTCATGGTGGGAGCTACAGGAAGAGTTATTGGGGTCGAGCATATTCCTGAGCTCGTGGAGATTGGGGAGAGAAACGTCAGGGAAGATTGTCCAGAGTTCATTGACGATGGACGAATCAAGTTTGTGGGTGAGACTAAACAAAATTCAACTCATTATCTTCCAAGATTATTCTAAATTTATGATACTTATCGTCCCTGCGGTTTTGAAGATTTGAAGATCAAAATATTTGAGAGAAATAATGATAAAACTAACTGATAAAAATCTTAAAATGATTCTAGAGGCTGACGGACGAGCCGGATACCCCCAGGCAGCTCCTTACGATGCCATCCACGTGGGAGCTGCTGCTGAAAAAATTCCTGATGAGGTAGAATTCATTTTTTCTCAATTTTTGTGGATGCTGTAAAAAATTGGAGATGCGAAAAGGAAGGAATTTTTCATTTGAAAATCTATTCCCCAGTTGGTGAAACAATTAGCTGCTGGGGGTCGTCTCATCCTTCCAGTGGTGACCATCGAGGGCTTCGAAAAGTACCAGGACCTGGTGCAGATCGATAAAGACCAGGATGGCACCGTTAAAACCAAAAAGCTCATGCACGTCTCTTACGTACTCCTCACTGATCCCAATACTCAATTACATCATTAGAATTTGAAGCTGTTCCCCTTCCCCCGACATCTAAATTTGGTTGTAACAAAAAAAGCTCGTGAGTTCGTCCACCACCAGCTGCGCAGCTGCACCCTTCGGATTCACAAAACAAGAGGATTTTCATCGACATGAGCCACTCCCAGCCACAGCAGGATCACTACCTTCGATCTATCGAATTATGTAAATATGATTTAGTAATTACGAATTTTATTGGAGGATTAAATTATATTTTGAATATTACACACGTTTTTTCATTGAATTATCGATTTTGAATAAACAGTGGTGCTCTGGGCAGCTCTAGGGAACTTAGAGAGGGACTAGGGAATTTTCACGTCAGAGTAGAAATGGCGAAATAATAATAAATGCGAAATCAAAGGTTCGCGATTTTTCTATGAGTTTTCTGTGGGGAATCCAGAGTTTTATCCAGAATAATTGAATGAAAAGTTGTTGAGACTGTAGTAATTCAGGAAAGGGGAGTCAACGGTGACCTAGTATCATTTTTTGATGGATGGAGATCGAAGTGAGACCCTCATCTGTGAAAATGAAGGAGAATAATTTTTCAGCTCTTAGCATTTGAACTTGATGATCTCGTGAATTAATTATCCAACTGATGATTAAGACTGGCATTCTAATTGCAGTTGCAACAATAGTCATGGCAGCTTTTGGCAGATACCATGGAAGATCGAACAGGGATTTAGTGCAGTACCTGAAGAAATCGAAGGTTATAAAATCTGATAGAGTCTTCGATGCAATGTGCTCGGTGGACAGAGGAAAATACACGACAGGATATCCCTACGTCGATTCTCCCCAGGGGATCGGTTATGGAGTAACAATAAGTGCTCCTCACATGCATGCTCATGCCCTGGAGCTGCTGGAGGACAAGTTGAAACCTGGAAATAAAGCCCTAGATGTTGGCTCTGGTTCAGGGTATTTGACTGCTTGTATGGGAATAATGTTGGGAAACGAAGGAGTTGCTGTTGGTATTGATCACATCCCAGAGCTTCAGGCACTGGCCAAGAAGAACATAATGAATGATAAACCTGAACTCATAGATAGTGGACGTGTTGAACTTGTTGTGGGAGATGGGAGACTAGGATATCCTGGTCAAGCCCCCTACGATGCCATCCACGTGGGTGCAGCTGCTAAAGAAACACCTCAAACACTGATCGAGCAATTAGCACCTGGAGGGCGATTGATTGTCCCTGTGGGCGCCTCTAATTCGGATCAAACTCTCATTCAAATCGACAAGACCCTGGAGGGGGAAATTAAACAGCAACCCTTGATGGGTGTCGTCTACGTCCCCTTGACTGACAAGGAGAGGCAGTACAGTTCATGAAATCAGTGTCTGCTCCAATGAGCTCATTTGTTCGGTTGTTTTTCCTCAATCGTGATCATTTTGCATTTCTGAATGCTCAACGATTTAGAATTATAAAAATAATACTCATTGAAGTCTTCTATTGTTGGTAATCGGTCTAAATATTATAGTCTAGTTTCATTAGTTTCATCAGGACTAATTTAAAATTATTAGTCTTTATTATTTGTTATTTTCAATATTTGTAGATGGCAAATTTATTTAATGCTCAGTAATATTTAGACCTGTACTCTTTCAGTTGTTGTAGTTCAATTTGTGTTCTGATGACGTTATGTTCGATACTAGTCTCATTCTGTGAAGTAATATTATTTTTAGAGACAGTAATTTCACGAAGATCTAGACAATGAATTATCTAAAATCACTTCGTCCTTCGATTTTTTTCCTCGAGCTGATCACTCAGGAAAATTCTCACTATGTTAAAAGCCACTGTATGACTGAAAATAGTAATTTTTTTATTACAAATAAAATTATTGAAGTTATTATCACGATAATCAATGCATTTATTATTTGGTGATTCCAATATGGACCAGAACCTAATCATTTTTTGCAATACATATTCACACTTATATACACACCACAGACTAGAATTGCGTTTCCGAATACCAGATATATCTTACAAAAATTTAATAAACTTTCCTTGAGACTAATTTGTGAACATGGAAGATGAATTATTTCAATGATTGAGCGGGATATAACAAGAATTAAAGAATAAACTGTTGTGTACATAGTGCGTTCTTCGAGGAATGTCTTAGAGTAAAATTGCTGAGATACTTAATCAGTAGAATAAAAAAATCTGTCGTTAATAATATAAAACAAATAATTATTTAAATTAAGTCGTCTAGAGTGTGAATTGAGATTTAACTAGGAATAAACTGAGAGCAGACCCAATTGAAATTCCTAGCCCGAGGAAAGCACCCATCATTGCCGAGGCGATTTCTTTGTCGTGGGGGTCAACAATTCTGCGGAATTAATCGAATTAAAGTAATTATTAATGTCAATTATATATTTGTATTTATATTTTAATGATGATTTTGAAGAACTGATAAATCATGAAAATAAACTCACGTCGGGACGAGGATAAATGCGATATTGCACAGATAGCCATTGCCAATGGCGAAGATAACTGTGAGGATAATGTAGTACAGATCATCGTTTATGTACACAGGAAGATGATGACGAGGTTGGACATTGCAGAACATAAATGCTGGGATGAAGAACACTCGAGAAATGGAAAACGCCACGATCACCCACGGCTTATCTTTTGGCTGGAAAGAGATTTAAAAATAAATCTAAGCATCTCTCAAACTAATTAGTCTCCAATAGTACGTCAATCTCTCAAAGTACTACAAATTAAGATTTCGTCAACTTCAAAATTTGTAAAAATATTTGTTATTGAATCATAAATTAATTATTCTCACCCAGAGAAAAATTCCAGCCAGCAATCGGCCGATATAATCTCCACAGCTGAACGTCAGATATGTGACAACAGGTACAAAGTAGATATCTAGATGGAACAAATAAATAAATCATGAATAAGACTTGTGTTTTTAGACTGAGATGGCATTGACGAAAGTTAATGACAAATGATTTTAAAATGGATGGGATTTTTACAAACCATTCCACGCATATCCTTTTCCCTTATCCTTGCTTTCCACTAGGACAGTGACGCCAGGATAAACAGCCATAGTAATGAAAAACGTGAGAAAAATGGCTAGAGAATAAAGCCAAGTTCTCTTCAAAATACTCAGATAATTAGTCCTGTGCCCCTCGACGAAACTAACTTCAGCATTGACAGAAAAATTGGGTTCTTGTGACCTCGGCTTCTGCACCATATGATGCAAGAAATATTCCTAGAAAAAATTATAATCAGCTTAAATAATCCTCGCATAATATTAATTTCCATGTTAATCATCCGTTTAATCCGATTAGAAAGAATTAGTGATGATGTGTTTGTCATTAGATTTTTTGAATTGAATTGACTCACCTCTCGTTCGATAAGAATGTACGCGATCAAGGAGGCGAGGAGGACAATATCCCCGATTATGAAGTAGACGAGACCAGAGACAACTGGGCTAGCTCCTATCCAGAGTGACACTATTTCCGTCAGTGCTGTGAATATTCCACCGAGGGCTTGACCACTCGTCATTGCTGTTATATATTTTGGATTGAATCGACCCACTATTCCCATTAAACTACCTCCAAAAACTGCACTCAATGCTGTAAACAAAAAATTACTGAATTCTCAACAGATTTTAATAAATTACAGACATTCCGGTACTTAGGAAATTTTTTGTTCATTTGATTATATTTTTAAGAATATTATGTGATTGTATTTTATTCTTATTATAGTCTCTGTAATTATTTATATAGTCTTTGAAAAATAAAAATGAAATGTTTTTAGTAATTACTTACCATTAACAATAGCAAATGATGTTAAAACGATAATTAAAAATGTATTCTGCCCTGCAACCGAAGAAGCCATCAATTAGCCAAAGAATCATCGCTAAGAGATTTTCTTAAGAGATTCAAAAATATTCACTTACACTCGTCAGTATTGATTTTAACAAATGCAGTAGTCATGATAAATAATAGAAGAATAAGAGCTTGTGTCCCAACCATTCTCACTTGCTGGGACAATCTGCAAAAGACAATCAACATTATAATTACATGCATACGCCATCAGGAAAATCGATACAAAAAATTCCTCACATTTTGCTAAGAAATGTATTCAGTATTAAAAATAAAGTGCTTGGAATGGCACTTGCGATGTTCAGATAAGACATAAAACTCGCTTGCAGCTCTGTTCTCTTCTCTAAAATCTGTGTGTGCGTATAATTGTGGAGTCCTGTGTTGTTTTGATGGATTTCCCTGAACTTGTACATCCAGTACTAAAACAAAAAAAAAAACAGGATATGTCAATTATAAATAATTGATGCTCAATTGACAGTTCGATTTACCTCATCGGCAGTGACGAAGAAGGCCCAAGGTATCAGGGTATTTATCCCCAGTAGATAAAAAACGATGTAAGCGATATTGTACCTAGAAGGATAATAAATCATTCGTAATATTTACCACAGCAGTACGAAAACCATAAAATCGAATTTATTGATATTTTATCATCTACCTGTCCCTGGGGAGAGGCAGCAGATGCTTCTGATCTGGTACACAGACACTAGCATCATCCATTTCCGTCTCGATGTCATCCTCAAATTCACTATCACTCCCCCCAAGCAGTGGTCGTCGATTAATGGAATAGGCCATCCTCTAAACAACAATACCCAGTGATAAATCTCGACCTCCAACAATAAAAACATTCAGAAAAAACACAAACATTGATAGAAACAACCAGAAATAATGACAGATCAGAGAAAGAGATTCCCAACACTTCAAAACACAAACTCCCCTAAACGCCAACAACGAATACTCACAGGAGTGACTCAAAGCAGAAAAATCCAAGTAAATCAAGCCCCAAAGGTTAAAAATTGAACATAATCAATATTTAAACAATACTGTTGAGACTGACTGTTCTCCCAAGTCGTCTGCGTTCTCCGAACATCTCTGAAATGCTGTCACAACTGTCTAATGATCACAGGCTGTCCTCGTGGCATCTCCAGATCTCCATCGACTCAATCCCCCAGTTATTCCTCAAATCCGAATGGGAGAGTGTTCATGGCACAATTTAACAGCTGTTAAATCCATTGTTTATTTCCGTCCAATTACTCACACACACCCTACCACAGAAATTCTACCTTCTACTCCCCACCACTCGATGCATCAGCTGTCATCGTAAAAAATGTCAACAATCAGTTTGACGATGCACCCAGCAGATGGCGAAATTGTGTGGACGTGTGAAAAATGCATTTCACAGTTAAAACGGATCAAAACACGAGATAACACGAGTTTAATTAGTTAGCATTACCAGTTGTTACGATTGGACGAATTCCCACGGGAATTCATGAATTTTTATTTTTACTCGTTCTTCCATGATTATTCAACTGTCGACAGATCATTTGTGTGTAGGAATTCCATCAACAATACTTTAATGCGTGATTTATTCGGTATTTAAAGGCGAGGGGATTCGCAGAGTGAATTTTTCAGGGTTGAATGAAATTTTAAAGAGTTAATATGTTGTTATCAGTGAAGAGATGGTGGGTAGAATTTCTTTGTTGATTTTAAACAGGCAAGATTTATTGAAGGTCATTAAGTGATTTTATTTTGGGATTCGGGGGTGTAGTTTTTGCATCAAGGATGGTTTTAGGGCCCTCAGCACTGGGGAGGTATCAACAGCCCTCAGGCCCTTCTATTTCACCGTGCATCCGGATTTATTTGGACAATATCCAACACAGAGGGTATGCTTTGTTTACAATTCCGGAGGATGACTCAATCTATTCTTTGTTGACATTTTGACGAATATCTTCGGAGCTGGTAGAGATACAGGAATTTTTATGGGAAACTTTTTGTAGGGGAGGACCAAATATGCGAAAAAGGTTCTTACGAAAATTTTGATATCGCGTCTGACTCCGGAGATATTGACAGTGACACAATTGCTGAGTGGGAATTATTGGAACAAAAGAACACGTGATTCATCCAATTCCTAATTTAGATTGCGGGGGATATCTTTGGAGCTGGTGGAGATACAGAAATTTTTTGAAGAAACTTTTTGTAGGGGAGAGTAAAATCTATAAAAAAGGTTATTATAACAATTTTGATATCTCCTCCAGTTCCGAAGATATCAACGAAGAGAATTGCTGAGTTGAAAATTTGATGAAATTTCCATTTCACTTCTCCATTTTACGACGAGCAATTTATTCGATTGGATTATTATTCCTTTTTAAATTTTCCATTTAGACAGTGAACGAGAATTCTCTGAAGCAGTTGAGTTCGGTAATCGAATGCCTCCAGCAACACAGACCGATAAATCCCATGACATTGCCATTTTACTTGCGATCGAAAGACGAGAAAGAGGTGAAGGCGGGAAAATTTACTCTAGTCAAGATACAGCTCAACGACAAGGACCTGAAGAAGACGATAATATCCATCTTGAAGGCATGCAATTTACCCACGACCTTCGTCGAGCAGATCGAGGAACCCGTCAAAGGGAGAAAAGACGAGAAATTCTGGGAATCAAGGGGAGGATTTGGGCGAGAATTTGATTTCACTAATCTCGAAGATGATCCACTCTATCAATCGATTTTCATGAGGAGGAAGATGAACACTGAGCCTGACACATTCAAGTGAGCTTAATCAATTTTTATTAAACATTTTGATAATTTTAATAAAAATAATAATCGATCATTTTTAATGAGAAATTTGTGTAGAAGTCTGAGATTGAAAAATTATCGTTGTTATCAATGAGTATCAATGAAGTCATAATTTTTATCAATGTCAGATCTAGTTCAATTGCAAAATGTTATCAATCTTGAATGCTATCGATCTTATCGGAAATGTCATTGATCTCTATGCACACTGATAGAGCATATTTGGATAAACACGTGAATGAAGCTCACGTGAAGCTGGAGGCGTGCAGACCAGTAAGAGAAGAAGTGAAGAAATTGGAGAAAATTCTTTGTGAACACCTGGGGCTGAAGAACATCTTTTGGGATTGCGGGTGGAACATTGCGCATTACAGGGGCTGTTTGCTGGCTTTTCAGAATCTAGCAAGACATCATCCTGAGCAGATGGAGATCCTGAGGGGTCGGACACTAGTTTTTGCTAATGATACGGGAATCAGTTCTGAGGGAAATGTCTTATTGAATTCTGGAGAAGTCAGGCATAACTGGCTAGACGTAAGTTGAAGAATATTCTTCTTCCCAGAATCTATATTTGAATTTCTCGGAATTTTTAATTTATTCATTTTATTTTTTAGATGATCAGAAATATTCCAAAGCACGATCTCATCCTTCGACGTCTGCCAGCGTTTGAGAAAGCCGTCTCTCGAGTTCTTCTCGATATAAAAATTGGCAGAAGGTGCGTAGCAGCACGAGATGAATTGATATTTTTTATTCGCGCATGGCCTTGTATCACGCGATTTATGACGCACTGTAGTTTGAAAGTGATTGAATAACCATAAGGATCAGGGTGCTCTATATGTGCAGGAAGTTCATGCCAAAGGTCATGGTTGGTCAGTACGAGCAGCAGCTGAGGCAACTCACCACTACTCTGTCAGACTATCGAGGGAGATCCAACTATCCCAAGACGTGGCCCTCCACTTTGGCCTCTTATGAATTAGTCATTGAGGCGTAAGTATTGCCTCAACAATTTTTCCACGCTGGAAATCATTGAGAGATAGACCAAATGTAATGATCGATTAAAATTTATGGGATATTCCAGAGAAGCTGGACCACTCATGCTCTCACCAACTGGACAATTTATCGTACCATCCTCGTGTCCAGGATTTTTACTCGTTACCTTCATCACCGAGAATTTGGATGAGGCAACGAAGAGACTGAGTCACTATAACAAGTAACGAAAAAATATTGATACTCGAAATTTTTCTGAAATTTTCCTGAAATTTCTCTAGAAAATTAATGCAAATCCATTTGTTTAGAATAAAGTATGTGGAGAGAGAACTCCACAATCAGACGATCAGGGATTTATGCTTGGCGGGTTTGAACAAAGACGACAGCATAACGCCAGACTTGATGATCCAGTGCTGTGAAAAATTACTCGAAAACAAGGAAACATTGAGGCCAATGCTGGATGGTGTGATGCTGTGGGTGACTCACTATTACTCAGTCATGACGGATGGAGTTCTGTGCATTCCGTGGGACTGGAAATTCTGATAAGAGCAACAGTCGATTAATTCAAATCAAAATTAATTAGTCAATCTACTAATCTCAATTATAATGTTCAAGTAATTCCCGAACTGAAAAGAAATATTAATTTTGTAATAGATAACTATAGATATTCTAGAGACCAGATCGTCGGAAATTATAGTAATTTCATGCCGCTGGAGGCTACGACGAATGAGTAATTGATTACCTCAGGATTCCGCCAAAGTGTGTGATAACGTATTGATACCAATTATGCATCAAGATGAATATGAGATATTCTATTTTGTTACGATTGATCACTTATTAAACTGTACACTGAATAGTGTAGATTAATTGAAAAATTGAGTGAGAAACCTAAGAAAGAATAAATAATTACAATGAATTTATGATTTAAGGTTGATATTCCCTCCTAGAATAAATAGTTTACAACACAAACCAGTGGTTAATGAAATAATTATTTATTGATTGAGATAGTGAATTTTATTATAAATTATTCACCATGAGAATTACGAATTTTCAAATAACATCGATAAGGTAACAATTGGCCGTATCATTCCCCTCTCGATTAGCACCTGCTGATGTCATAATTATTTTACGTTCTTTTATTCCAATATTTTCAGTAGAATCAGTCAGTGAGTCAGTCATTACTGAGTACTTCTCCAGAAGATCCAGTAGTTAATGACTTTTTAAAAAATTTAATAAACACGTGGTCATGAGTGCAGCATCGCAGTACGTTCGCCTGTCAACAGGATTCAATATGCCACTTGTTGGAAGTAAGCCAATTGTTAAAAATAAATAAACAATAACATAACCTCTGGAAATTAACTGCTGTGTGACTGATGAGAATTAACGCTGGTACTTTCAGTTGGTACTTTTAGAGTCACTGGACGAGAGATAATCCACGATGTGTTGGATCATGCACTTTGTGTGGGGTACATGTCGATAGGTGTGTTTTTATATTATTGATAATAATCCAACAACTCATGCTCTCCAGTTTTAATCTTAAATTTTATCGCAGACACTGCAGCTGTGTACAGGAACGAGGAGGATATAGGTCACTCCTTGAAGAAGCTTATGGATAAATACAGCATCGAGCGAGAAGAGATATTCATAACCACTAAACTCTGTAAGCATTGAAATTAAATCAGAAAATGGAATTCAACATTTTTCAGAAAAACTATCGATTTTAGGACGAAACATTAGAGAACTTTTTTGCGGCTCATTAGATTCCCGATAAAAAATTTCTCTGACATTTCTTCCTGGAATCAATAGTTTTGTCGATAAAGTTGGATTTAACTATTGGAATATTGGAATTCATTTATTCCATCATTTTGCTACTGATTCAGTATTTTAATTCAGTAGAAAACGATTTGCAGCCCCTAGTGATAACGGCGACCCTAGAAGAGTACGTGAGGCTGTGGAGAGATCCCTGAAGGCCCTGAACCTCTCCTACATCGATCTGTACCTGATCCACTGGCCCGGAGCTGCTGGAATTCCAGAGGGAGACATCGACAACATTAAATTAAGATCGAAAACGTGGGAGGCACTGGTGGACCTGAAGGCTCAGGGCTTTCTGCGATCCATCGGGGTATCCAACTACAACATCAGTCACCTGGAGAGGCTTATGCAGGACTGCAAAGGTGTTCGTCCTGCAGTAAACCAAGTGGAACTGCATCCTCATTATCGTCAGAAGGAATTAGTGGAATTCTGCAATAAGGAGGGGATTCACGTGCAGGCGTATTCCTCTTTAGGCACCAGCACTGACACTTCCCTCTTGAAAGATCCCACTGTCTGTCGAGTGGCTCAGGAACTCGGTGTGTCCCCAGCCAGGGTTTTGCTGAAGTGGGCACTTCAACAGGGAATAGGAATAATTCCAAAGGCTGTCCAAACCACCCACATTTTTGATAATTTTCAGCTAGATTTTGCCATTCATGAGTCCCAAATGGATCGGCTGTCCTCATTACCGCAACATAAATACGCGTGGAATCCTAATAATGTAGTATAATCACTTGAAGAAATTGATCAATTTACCCACAGACTGTTATCATTTTTTATTTCAATGATTAATTCATTTTTTACGTTAAAAAAGTTATTTTTATATTTTCTGCAGTCATAAAAAATGATAGACTCTTCTTTAAACTGAAAACAATCAGATTGATAAATATTTTTAATATCTCAACTATATTTTCGCCAAGAAGATGCCCCTTGAAGAAATTATATCGAAAATCTGTCTGGAAAAATTCAGAGCCCTGAAGAAGACAGGCAAACCCATCGACTCCGAGTGGACAGTCCTCGCAGGGTTCGTCCTAAAAAAAGGAGACACATACTCACTGGTGTCTCTGGCCACTGGGACCAAGTGTCTGGGTGCTAATGACCTCCTAAATTCAAAATCTTATGACTATGGAGTGAGATTGAATGATTCACATGCTGAAGTGCTAGCACGACGTGCCCTTCTGCGATACCTCTACGAGCAAATTGACGAGTTGTTGTTATCGAACAGGAATCACATTTTTGTACTGAATGCAGCGGGGAAAATCGAGTTCAGGGAAGATGTGTCGTTTCATTTTTACTGCAGTCAGACTCCCTGCGGGGATTGCTCCATCATCTGCAAGCAGGAAGGACCACCTCGTTCTAAAATTCAGAAATTAGATGGGAGTGTGAAATCAAATGAAATCGGGGACGTCTGCGACATTCACAGAACTGGAGCCAAATGTGTTGGGAATGGGATGCAGGATCTGCATCTTCCTGGAGTAGATTATCACGTTCTTGGGCCCCTCAGGACGAAACCTGGGAGGGGAGATCCCACCCTGAGCCTCTCCTGCTCGGATAAATTAGCGAAGTGGAATGTCCTCGGTGTCCAAGGGGCTCTCCTCTCAATGTTCATCCCAAAATTGAGGATCCAGACTGTTGTGATTGGTGGACAGTGCCCTTTCTCCCTCGAGAGCATGGAGAGAGGGATTTTTAAACGATTCGATTGTGGGCTCAAGGGGCCCAAGATTGTTCAAGCCTCTACAGGGTTTCTGGAGAGAAAATCAGGGAACAGACAACTACCCTGTCCCTCTAGTGTCATCTGGTGCGATGTCAAAGGGAAAAACTCTGAAGTGGCTGTTGAGGGGAGAAAACAGGGAGCAACTAAAAATAAAAAAGGCAGTTGGCTGTTGATATCTAGGAAAGGGCTGTTCAATTATTTTTTAAGAGTTGTTGATAAATATGGGAGTGAACAGGTTCCTCAGCATCCCAAAAAAATAACTTATTTGGATTTTAAGAAGCACGCGAGGAGTTACTGGAGTTCGTGGGAGGACTACAAGTCGACGATTTTTCACGCGTGGCCTTTGAAACCCCAGGATTTACAGAGATTTCAGTTATGAGAGAGCTAAATCAAGATAAAGTAATGACAATTGTCTTTTCGCTGTCTAAAAATGTATTTATTAAAAATATAGAGGAAATATTTACAGATTAAATCGGCCTACAAATGCTTCTTGCTGAGATTTGTATATCCTATCCCCACACAAGTCAATAAAACTTGTTCCAGGGTTATTTCGTCGTCTTCCTCGTCCTTTGCAGGTTCTAATTTGAATACTACCCCGAAGAAATCCTTGAGATCTCGTAAAAATTGGATCCTATTGAATTGAATGCATAACAAATCATTCATTTTTAACGAAATTATAATATTATTTAAAATATAAATAACTAAAGGATTATTTACATTGTGGGGGTCAGGGGCCCAACGAGGACCTTAGAAACATCTTTTTTCCCGAGTGCCATGAATAAAGCAGTCATGCTCTGGAATGGAGAGTCCACACATCCATTTCTATATATTTCATCCAGTAATTTATGTGCAGCCTCTGTTCCAATGTCCTCTGGAACACAGGGTAGAGATCCAGTGGTCATCAGGGGTGAGCATGCCTCACCACTAAAGAAAACTCCATTTGTTGTTTCTGCTGTTATCGTGATACCAAATCCTACAGATTAAAATCAAATATTCATATTATGATTCCGATCGTAAATGAAACAGACAATTTAACCTACAATTTCAATTCGATATAATTACCTGGCGATTTTCCTCCAGTTCCACCCCTGCAGTGATCCGTATGAATGTAAATATCCGGTAAAAAGTTGAGTAGAACTCCTTTAGCAGACTCAACCATTCTATTGGCTATTGCTGGTGATACACGAATGCTGCAGGCAAGACCACGTATCCTCTTCACCATTCCACTGTTCTGAAACTGTTGGATTTTCCAGATTGAAGACGTAAAATTAATTATCCTGTTGTAAATAATTTGACGAGGAAATTTATCCCGTAAACTATTAATTCAACATTGAAATATTATAATACCTTGGTTATTATTTATTGGAACAAAACTGCAAAATGGAGTGTTCATATTGTAATGAGGAATTTAATATTCTGACGATCTGTACCTGCACAGTCTTCAAGCTTTGCTTAATAGGACACTTGAAGAGAACCTCACCACCACCTAGTGGTGCAGCCCCTCTTTTCTTGATGACCAACTCGACATCCTGTTCCCCAATGACGAATCTCTTGAGGACAGACAGTCCAGCAGTTTTAATTCTGTCGACCGAGGGGTCCAGACTGTTGTTAGTGATTCCCCTGAGCTTGATCTCAACAGGTTTCTTGCAGAATGGAGCTAAAGCCATCACAGCTTCCAAATAGTATCCAATTCCCCTCTGCAAACTGCACTCATGCTCCAGCTCTCCACCAACTAACAATCCTGGAGAATAGAAGAGACTCGTTCCTGTCTCATTCAATTCCACTCGTGTTCCATTGGTCAGTCTGTCCAGAAGTCTAATCAGACTGACTTCATATTCTGAAAAATAAATATTTTAAATGCCCCATTAAGAAAAATAAATAACTAAGTAAATTAACGAGACATTTTATCCCGACATTTTCAAAATCTCAGCAATTTGATTCTTTTTCAATCAACCTTAATAATTTCCTATAATTATTTTCTTGCTTGTAATTGTTTGCATAAAAAGGGCACTTTATATTAATAATAATAATAAATTAATAATAATTATTTTATCTAACTCTCTTCTCCAAAAATCTCACCTTTCAACCCCGGATCATCGTGATTCGTTCTGATGTCTTCGATCCTCACTGGCTTCCCTGATAATGTCGATAATAATAATCGATACTTGAGGTAATTACACCCTTCATAACTCAATACATTGCTCTTCTTCTGGGCTGGCATAATTGAAAAACAACAATTGCACTAAAAACAACAACTCACATTTGTGGTTATAAACACGTGCTGCATTGCGCACATTTTTGTCGACTGCGCATGCGTCGACCTTTCAAATCGTTAAAAAAATTCAAATCCATTAATTACCGCAGACATTTACGAGCTATCGACACACTTGGGGATAATATTCTTAATTAAAATATCAGATCGTCAATTTATTTGCAATTAAAACGTTTAATTTATATATAAATTAATGACTCGATGAATCAGGAGATTAAAATAACGAATGGCGTAATTTTCCATTTTCGATGGAATTTTTCCATATTTGTATCGATGAATAATTATTATTAATTGCCATTGGATCTCATGTGGTGGAGGAGTAAATTAGTTTTCAGGTCAATTAATATTTCAAATGTCAATCGTATTATAGCTATTAGGTATTGCTCTTCATGTAATTTCAAACACGTGGCTCACATTTGAGTGGTATTCTTTCATTACAGACGGCAATAATTTAATCCTAAAAAGTTATGTACACCGACGTGACTTCATGCACTGCACAATTACTGGGGAGGAATACATAAAGTGCCCCGAGACAATTATGACTGGCCTGTGGAATCTCAGAGGTTTGGATCGCTGCACGTTTCTAATAAAATGGAAAGGTCAGATCCCAGTTCAAGTCACTCCCCCATCTTCTTCAATTTCATCTCCACGATTTGGAAATCTGTTACGATTCTCGATATTCACCAAATATCTCTACAATCCGCGAGAATTTATCCGTCAATTCAATCTGTCACCTAAACATTTCCGCGTAATTTCAGTATTAATTTCATTTTTATAATTAAATCATTAATTTATCTATTATCATCATTATTTATTGCAAATTTATTAAATTCTCTCAACTTTCTATTCATCCAGAAATTTATTTATTTTCATAAATAAATTTTCTGGAATTGTTAATTCAATAAATAGAAATCATAATTATAATCCCTTTTAAAAAAAAGCATGTAACGTTTTTTGTCAGCTTTTTTTGGCGCTATGCATATCAAAATATATCTATATAATATGATATATATAATATATAATATATATAATATAATATAAATTTAATATGATTTATTAAAAAAAATTAAATTAAATTTTTAATTATTTTTTATATAAATTTTTACTTTTTTCTTTCTTCTTTTTGAAATTCTATATATGTATATATTATATTGGAAATAACCGTGAATATATATATATATTCCAATGATAACACCCCATACGTGGACG